ATTAAAAAAAGAAATCATATAACTCAAGCATGATTTCAAAATAAAAGACAAACAGATCTTTAATTATTATTTTTTCATGAAGTAACCCTGTAGACAAACGGCTTCTTTAAAATGCAAAATGCTGCAAATAATAATGCAATGGAACATATAACTAGCCTCTATGAATTAAAAAAAGAAATCATTTAACTCAAGCATGACAATTAAGACGATTAAATAAACGATAAACAACTAAAAAAACAAAAATCAAAGCCTATTACGTATAAGAAGCAGCACATGAGAATTGATAGGGGTGATATAATGGTGGTCGAAAAGTACACACTTACAGCAGTTCAAAGTATTTAGGGTTTCTTCTGGTTTTGTGGAAATGGCAGATTAACTGGCCTTCTTTGATTGCCGTAATAAGAAAACAGCTTCTTTATAGAGGGATGGGGGTCCTTGAGCACTGAATACTACTGAGAGAGGTCCTTGCACAAAATATTAAGATCTCGGCCTTATAAAACCACACACAAAATTTTATACTCCTATATGAGTATACTGTCTATTTACTTCTTAGGGTAAACCCCAATATAGAGTACTCTCAGGACTTATTGGGCCGGGTCAATTACCATTCGGTATTCTCATTTCATTAAAATTACAAACACTCCACCCACGTTTTTCTTACTTTGGTATGTAATTTCTTCAATCCACATACTAACCTCAATAAAAACAACTTCCAAATTAAACTCCCATGTACTAGAAAAAAATATTGTCTTAAGACCGTCCAATTTTTCAAAGGCGAGATCTAAGTATAAAAGAACTCAAATTCTATTTTTATTTGTAAAAAATAATCATCTAATTTTTTTTAGGTGCTTTCCCAATTTTCAAAGAGCAAAAAAAACACCCAAGTAATCTTTTAAGTGAGGGACAAAATATACTCCCTTGGGAGCATATTATGCATATCCTTCTTTTGCGGGAGATGATGAAGGGGTTTATTTTTGGGGTTTTATTTATGTTAGCACCCTTTCAGGTGATACAGACAATTTAGGGCGAAAATAGAAGGCCTAAGTTTTACATTAAAAAATAAAGCGGTACTTCAAATCTCAATTTGAAGAGGCAATCGGGAAGTCTAATATACTTTCAAATCGATCTTGTCGACCTAAACAATTGTATGGCTAGATTTCCGGTGCTAAATATATTTTAAAACTTATTTTCCAAAATTGTTAGATGCCCACTATTTACGAGGCCATTAATTTTAGGGAAATTATCAAAAGCATATCTTTTTTAAAAAAATAATATAAAAAATAAACTTCAGAATATCCAAAACCTCATCCATACTCCTTTCCTCAATTGTTTGCATTTTTTTTTGACAAAAATACCCTTTATGATAGTCTTAGATCCGTGAAAGCATCATTGTTGACTTAAAACTGTGATGGTTATGAAAGGTTTTTTATCTTCGAAATAGATTTTCAAGTGTATTAAGGGGTTTTCTACTTCAGGTTTTGGAATTAGAGTTCAGTTTTTAGTCTATGCCATATGCTAACCACACCCTAAATCAATTGCATACCTTCTCAGAGGGAGAGGACCGTTTTAGAGGGGATTTGTGTACTACAATATTGTTTGTTTTTGGTGTAATGAGAATGAGATAACAATTATATTTCAACCGTTAGATTTTAATTTTCACAGTTTGGGATGTGTCACAAAGATAAAAAAAAATATTTAATTTTAACTTTAAATTTAATCGTTAGGACAATCTCTAGCCATCTACTTTCAAATCTGACCGTAAAAAATGATTGTGACCTCTTTGTACTAAAAATCAATAGCCTTGATCAAATGATTATATGTTAATGTAATACTAATTTTGTATCAATTTAAAAGAATTTGAGAAATCGGTGTACTTATTATACTTATTATAGGAAGGATAGATTATTTTGCATGACTTGAACTCGAAAAAACCATATTTCAACTTAGTTTATTTTTAATCAACTTGGTTTATTTTGGGGCCAAACTTGGAAGGGAGGAACCCTAAACGCCCCTCCACAGCAAGACTCAAGGGGGATTATATGATCTTGGAAAAATGTAATTGAAGTGATAATTTTATTGAGAAAATATCATTAAAAAGATCAAATAATATAATTAAAGTGATATTTTTCTTGAGAAAATATCATTAAAAAGATCAAATCACTAGTTAAATCAGCAAATTCATCAACAAATTTGCTACTTTAATAAGATAATATAGTTGAAGTAGATCCTCAAATGTTTGCCAAGAAATGCCTCATTCCGTGATTTGTAATCCTAAATAATCAGGGTTATTTTGATAATGTGGCACTAGACTTAAACACTCCTACCTGTACCCCAGGTCCTAAAGTGATAAATAGGAAATTTAGTGACAAAGCACACGGTTGCTTGTTCTGAGCTCGAGACCAAGAATAATAAATTTCAATGAAAAACACATGTTCTAGGTCCGGAATCTAGATCAAGTATGGCTACTTGAATAACTTAGCTACAGTGAATTATTAAAAAATTCTTATTTGCTCCAAGTTCCAAATCTAAACTATGCATTTCATTAATATCTCTTATTTCAATTTTGGAACTGACAACAATAAGGGGCAATTTAGTAATTTGTCCCAACTTATTAAACCCAATTACCAAACCCCTCACACCACACCAGGTAAATAAATAAAATTCAGGTATATAAACCAGGGGATACTTCTTAATAAAACATGATAGCATTTTAATAAAAAGGTGTGGTTTGCATAAAGTCACAATTTTAAACAATCCAAACATAAATTTTATTTAAGGCATAAGTCTAAATTTTATCATAAATATAAATTTGGTACCATTAATTCTTAGGATGGCTTGAGAATCTATCTTCACCTCTAATTATAAAATTTATATTCTAAAAATAGTTCAAATAAAGTAGATCTATGAACACATGAAAATCTTGAAAATAGACGATCCAAATAATGTACTGCAAGATACATTATTTCTCGGACCCAAAATCCTTTTTTTTTTCATATTCACACATCTCGATGTCGAGATGATCAATTAGAAGGCAACATCAAAACCACCTTTTTTTTTTTTATGGATTTTTTATGTATACCTCAATTATTTATTTGAAATTTGCAACCTTATGTAAACTTTTTCTTTTAATAAAAGGTGTGGTTGTATAAGGTTGCAAACTTTAACAATCAAATTAAGACGCATCTCCAAATCTTATTATAAATATCATTTTAGTATCAAATGTTCTTAAGATGGCTTGAGAATTTATTTTAATCTCTAATCATAAAATCTTAAACTTAAAAAATAGTTCAAATTAAGTAGATCCGTAAACATTTGAAAATCTTGAAAATAAACCGTCTAGATAATGTGTTGCGAGATAAATTACTTTTATAACTCGAAATTTTTTTTACCTTTTAAATTCATACATCTCAATGTCGAGATGTCCAACATTAAAACAACCTTTTATAATGGATTTTTGAGTGCACCTTAATTCTATATTTTAAGATTGCAACCTTATATAAACTTTTTATTTTAATAAAATAGCTGAGGAAACTCACAAACAAGCTTTCATCTCATTTTTAACTATATTTATAACGTTATTGTCGTTTTCCATAAATTCTTTTTCCATTTTATTATGATTCTTCTTCCATCAGTGCAGTTTAAAATAGGGCGGTTATTAATTGATCCAATGAATGGTATCTATAATAGCAATAAAAAACTAGTGCTGTTGTGTGTGCGTGTGTGAGAGAGGGACAAGAGAGAAAGAGAGAAGGGTAAAACATCATATATTTATGGGATACAAATACAATTACAGGGGTATTCTAACAGCTGCAATAATCAGCAATACTTATCTTGATTACAGTTCCAATTTACAATAACAATGACTTGACCTAGTATGATCTATATACACCCAACATTAGGCTGGCTTTCTGCATAAGAAAAATTTAGAGCAGAGCCCTTATTTTTTTGTCTTATTCATCGATGTCCTTTACTGCATCCTGCACACCAAAATTGGAACACAAAGCAAAATCAGTGTCTTATGGCCATTTTTTTACCAGAAAATACTCATCACATATCAAAAACCATTAATTAACACTATAGCTATACAGTTTGGGCCATAATTCAGTGAGAATACCTGCTAGGCAGCAAGTTTTTGGTTAAAATTCAGATATATTCAAAATTGTTTGGCAGAATCAAATATATCTTTCAGAACACCTATCCTTTTGGCCATTTCTCAACAATTCAACAATATACTGCTCAGAGACCCAGGAGTTCAGGCATATCAGATTTCTAATGGCTGAATTATAAATCGAAATGATGATAATTGCATCTTCCCCATTCAGATTTACAGTATATGTTAAGCCCATTATATCAATATTTTCTGCTTTATTTCTCAAAATTTATCATAAGCATTGAGTATCAAATGTTACCTTTGCAAGCTGTGTGACATAAGCTGCAGCAATGGCGGTAAACAAGAGGCCAAGTCCAAGAGTCACTAACTGACCGTTTCCACCTGGCAAACCCACATCTGACTCTTCTTGCTAAAAGTCGCCAAAAAACCAAACTTCAGATTAAACAAAACGAAACAAACTTAAGAACTTAATAAAACAATAATAATAATAGATAAAATTGAAGAGCCAAGAAACCAAACCTCCATATAATATCAACATAAATGCAGAATCTTTAAAAAATATATATAAAAAATAAAAAGCATACATAAAGATTCCTCAAATTGACAGTGATCTAAAAAGAAGGGAGAATATTGAGGGAGAAGAAATTCTAAGACAGTTGTGAAATATGCAAGAAAGTTTCCTAGAGGAAACCAGTTCTAAGGAGACAAATGTAGCCTATAGAAGGAAATCTAGCAAACAACCAGTACAGAGGCTGAGGAAACTTACAATTATGGCCCGGCCAAAAGCACCAGCACTGACATAAGCCCAAGTTCCAGGAAGCATTCCTAACCAACTGCAAATTTACGATTAAAGTTTAAACTTAAATACTTGATTATATATCACTACGAGGGAGGGAGGGAGGGAGGGAGGGAGGGAGGGAGGGAGAGAGAGATGGTTTGATGATAACATAAATAAATATTCTTACCTGCCCAAAACATAAGGAACAAATTTCACCGAGGTCAATCCATAGAGATAGTTTCCGAGAGAAAATGGGAGCAAAGGGCTTAGTCTCAGAAGAGTAACAACTTTGAAGCCATTCTCACCAATGGCCCTATCAATGGCAAGAAATTTTTTATTTCCCTCCACCATTGTCATAATCCGTTCTCGAGCAAAGTATCTTGCAATAAGAAAGGCAACTGTCGCTGCGACCTGAAAAGTTATACAAGTGCCTCAATAAGGTAGACATTAACCCAGCAAAGACGATACAATAGGACGTTACACCAAACTCTAAGTGAAGAATGCGCCTGGTTTTGCAAACCATCATACCGTTCCGCTGATCGAAACAATAATAGTGCCTGTAACTGTTCCAAACAGAAGTCCAGCAGACATTGTCAACGGAATGGCTGGAATTGCAAGAACCTGCAAGATATTGCATTAACGGCTCGAGGTTATCTCAAGATGGGAGTTTGATAATTTGAAACAACTTTGAGTAACAGTGTAATGGTAATAAAGCATGATATACATTAGTCCCCGAAATTCACAAAAAAAAAAAAGAACAAGAAGTAAACCTCATTATCAATAGTCTTCTTCTTCTTTTCTCTTTCCAATAACTCGTTATGGATAGTATACAATAGTTTGGCACAATAACTGATTTTGTCCAAAGAAGGAAATTCCTTGGGTGAAGAAAAATGCAAGATATAATTCTAAAAAGATATAAATGAATGTGATTCATGTAAAAGCACCAATAACAAAGAAACATGATCCATGTAATACCTTGAATTGAATTAAAATTTATAAAAATCATGTCAAGGTCGTTATGGAAAAGGTATGTGATCACTTCGACTGGGACTCCTCAGTATATAGGATGGTCCCCATGGGGTTCAGCAAGGACGGAAATAAAGTGAGAGAGCGCATTTCCCAGGTCTCCTTCAAGAGTGTACCATATACCCTTCCGTGCCTGCCAAACACCACCCCATCCTATTCATCACAGAAGCTGGACTAATGGACAAAGCAACCAAGTATATCAGAGGTTTCAAGGTTGGTTCCACTAATCCTGTGGTAGCCCATCTTCAGCAAGCAGACAATATTTGGACCTTCAGTGATCCAAGCCAACAGAGAGTTTCAAGATGATTCGCTGATATGTATGAATAGGTTCGGGGAAGGGACTGAGAAAAGGATTTAAGTTTTGGTTTGACACTTAACTTTGGGGCACTGCAAGCTCAAGTTCCAAGCATGACAATGCTACTATACTTAGCCTAGCAGTGTTGATGATTTTGTGAAAAAAGGGGTCAAGTGGGTCTGAAATCTCAAGGTCTTAATTAATAGGGAGCTTGAGGAAGTTTACATACCTTGACATGTAAAACAGGATGCTATCGTGATTCTATAGTGGTGTCCTTCTATAGGATCCTATTTCAGAGGAGGGCTTCAAGCCACCTCATATGGAGTGTTATGCAGATGATGTCCTTTTATCGTCACAACATTAGTCACATAATCTCAAAGGATACTCCGATTCCCAAAAACATTCATCTGAAGTGCAAAGGAGATGGATACATAATGGGCCACCTCTTATTGAGCTGCTTGTTCACCTTCTTTCTCTTTAAAATTATTTGGATCAAACGGAGTGTTTACATGCAATATTCACCAGCAGCTGATTGAGTAGTTTACTTTAGAGGATAAACTTGTCCTGGAAGATTAGTCCTCTAGTTATCTAACTGAATTTGAAGGGATTGTGATAACCAAATCTTTTAACTAATATACACGACTGTAGAGGATATATGCGATAGAATCAGGCACACTGTAATCTTGGGTTCTCAACTTCTGATCAATATGGAGTCCGAAGCATATGGCATTCAAGAAGCTCCCTAGGTTAAGGCTTATATTTTGTTGGGTCCCCCAATAAAGGTGGTATCTAGCTCAAGTTTGATGATATATCCTTGGTGAAGATTGAGTGAGCCCTCGGGCATGGGAGGTATTCTGAGAGGTTGTGTCGGCAATAGATCAGAGATTGCAACAGAGGAAAATTCAAATAAGAGATTCCCTTACTGCAGTAGTTGTGAATAGCCCTCATTTCGAATATGGTCTATGCAGTAACTAGTGTGTGTAACCATTACAACTGTTTAAGTATCAGTGGATGTCACTATGGGTAGAAAAAAAGAAGCTTGCTAATTTGTTTGGGCTGATGTGTGATATAAATATCGAATGCTTGTTCACCATAAATTCTATCAAATTTCCCTATAATACACTCATTTTGATCTAAGATGGACCAAATCAACCATATATAAATCAAAGAACCAAAAATTGCAGGCAATTCTAAATGCAATCTCACCTCCAATCCAGCATAAACGGCCACAAATAAAGCATACCCAGCTGGTCCATAATCTGTGTTAGGAATCATTTTATGAGAGTTATCCCACACATTTATCATCCTCCTAATCCAAACAATAAAAATTCAGAAATCTAAGTTGTGAATGTGACGAATATTTGATCACATTGAGATGATTTTGAAGAATTTTCCCAGTGCATAACTAGCATAGTTTCTTCATAATATGTAAACAAATTGATGGATCTCAAACATAAACCATCTGTCCGTTTATTTTCTTAAAGAGACACTCCTAGCTTTAACAAAACTTCAAAATGTACCAACAAAAAAAGAGAAGAAAAAAAACAGAATTCCACAAAAAAAAAAAATCCAAAGTCATTATTTTCTAAGTTAACATGATCTGAATCATCTGCTGAATACTTATTAGTAGACAAAATGGCAATTAAAAGAAGGAAAAAAATCCGAAAAATTACCCTCAATGAAGCCTGAGAACTGTGTAAGAAAAGCATTAATTTGATCGCGATAGATATAGCCCACAGATCCAAACCCGCCGATAACCCCAACAAGCAAAACCCCAGCCAAAACAGTTCCTTTCAAAGCAGTCTCTCCACCACTGTCCTCTTCCACAGTTTCTTTCTCTTCATTGACAATCTGAATCTTTTTTCTCTCCTCTGTCTCTTCATCACTATTCTGGGCCTTTTCGATCCTAAGGTTAGGAGGAACGCTCGAAACCTTCTGTGAAGCCTCTTTCCTGGTTTCCTTGAGAGAAGAGCATGGTCTGAAAATGTGGTACCGTTTGGGTCTGAAATTGGGGAGGTGAGAGAAAAGGGAGAGGGGTTTTAGAGGGAGAAAGAGAGGGGAAGAGAGAGAAAGTGTGGGTGTAGGAGGAGAAGGCCCTGGTCTCAAAGGGCACATTTTGAGAGAGAGAGAGAGAGAGAGATTTTGGTATTTACAATTTGAAAGAATTTCTTTTGTTGGGGGAATGATAAAAGGAGAGCGGTGAAAGAGTAGTGGAAGCTCCTGGTTATGTCCACGTGGCATCAGATAGACCATCAGCAAAGTGACACGTGGAACAGTTGCGATTGGCGGGAGAGGGCTGAGGAATGACTGAGAGGTGTTTGATAACGAATAAAATAGGGGAAAATCTCACACTCTCTCGTAGTACTTGTGACGTGGTTTTCACATGTTTGGGAACAGTAAATCGGGAGTAAAAGAAAATTTAGTTTTTTTCTATTTCACTACTTTTTTGAGGAAAGTAGCGAATAAAAGGCATCCTGGGTTTTTGGAGAAAGTTACGACTCATTAACAAATATAATAATAATATGTATTATATTATAATATATAAAAAAATTTATATTATAAATAATATTTTATAATATATAAAAAGTGCAGTTTGGACAAAGTCGAGGCTCTAAACAAGAAAAATAAAACACACCTTCAAATAGTATTGAGAAATGTGGTTTCAATACTTTGAATCTTTGTGATAGCCTTAAAATATATTTTTTATATTTAATTATAAAATTTAAAACTTAAAAAATAGTGTAAATTGAGTAGATTTATGAAAACTTGAAAATCTTGAAAATTGACAATACAAAAATACGTTACAAGATGCACTATTTTCAAAATCAGAAATCCATGGAGGTTTGCTATTTCTAATATACCAATTATGACATTTAAGGAATCCCCTTTCACTATTCAATAAAATTCAGCACACCACTCTCTCTCAAAGGCTTTAGTCCTTGTTATATTGCCATCAATTCAACATCATTAGGTTGAACGACACCACAAGGCCCAAAGTAAGTGAAAACCATAGCACCCCAGAATTGCAAACGACACCTCCCACCCCACTTGGGCTGGGTTTCCAAAAGAACTTCCATCAACGCTGAGCTTAACATACCCATTCAAAGGTGAAGTCCATTGTCCTTTCAGTTTAACTTTAAAAAACAATTGAAGATTGAGAATAATATCTACCTTAGAAACCCATCTCCTTTCTTCACATTGGAATACCAAAACCATTTTGATTAGTTATTTAATGAAATTGTTGAAATTTGATTTGATGTTATGTTAAAAGGAAAAGTTTATATAAGGTTGACATCTTAAAATGTAAAATTAAAATGCACATATAGAATCCTTCAAAAAAAGTTGTTTTAACGTTGTAAAAACATTTAATGGATCCAATAGAGGAGCCTACCTTCAATTAGTATCAAGAAATATAGTTTCAATACTGGAAATCTTTGTGATAGCTTTAAAATACATTTTCATCTTTGATGCAACAAAAACTAGATTCAAAATGATCGAATAGCCTCAAAATCATAGATGTTGCCAAATCAAATATTCGATCAACGAAGTGAGATAGTTCCGTCACATAAATCCTCCCCTTTTTTTTTGAGTAACCGTTGTAAAAATGTTTTCATAAGGAGTCCCTCGAGCAGTAAATGGCCGGAACGGATGCTAAGCATGCATCCCGCACAAGTGTGAGCAAAATAATTTCTCTCCTATTTTATACAAAAAACTCTAAAATTTTGAACTAGCATGGATAGCTTCGTATTTTCGTCCCACTTAAAGAGTCACATGCCAAAAGTTTCAAACCTAATTTTATAAGACTTGTAAAGTAGTGTATTTACATAATTTGGTTAAACTCAAGTAACCAAAGCCAAATGACAAAACTAACCCTGCATATTCTGAGTCAAATGACAAACTTAGCCCTGCATATTCTGCGTTCGAAACCCAAAATGATATGGTTACTAACACTCCATTCAAAATCATTCTTTAGAAAATACTCGTTTTCAAATAGCACACCGAAAGTGTGACTCTTAAATGGAAAAGTTTATAAGGTTGACACTTTAAAATGAATAATTAAGGTGCACATTTAAAATCCTTCCAAAAAAGTTGCTAACATCTAGTTGACCATCTCAACCTCGAGATGTTTGGATATGGAGAAAAAAAATGAAATTTTAAGTCTTAAAAATAATACATCTTGCAATACATGATCTGGATTGTCTATTTTGAAGATTTTCATGTGTTTATAAGTCTACTTGACTTGAATCATTTTGTAAATTTAAAATTTTATAATTAGAGATCTTAAAAAATTTCACACTAAAATTGCATCTCATGACAAAATTTGGAGGTGCACTTTAATTTGATTGTTTAAAGTGGCAACTATATACAAATCCCACCCTTCTTAAATATCCTTAACGATCTATATTTTCTCAAAAAAAATTATTGTCATATTTTATCAATTAAAAGAACCTTTTAAAATAATCCTTTTTTTTTTTATTTTTTTATTTTACGTGCCAAGTTCATAACTCATTGGGATTGAAGGAGTTATACTAAACTTACTGGGGTATAAGTTATTATATAAAGTTTTTAGCTGACTGCTGACAATGTGAACTAGAATTTATTGTTTACTTAAAACTTAACATGATGAATTGGCTTTGTATAAATACACACATACATACACCATTTTTATTTTATTTTTCTTTAATTAAAGAACCTTTTAAAAGAATCGTTATTTTATTTTTATTTTTTTTTACGAGCCAAGTTAGTCATGACTCATTGGGATTGAAGGTATCATACTAAACTTACTTGGATATAGGTTATTATATAAATTGTTTAGCTGACTACTTATAATGTGAACTAGAATTTATTGTTTACTGGTCAATGGGCTTTATATAAAGGATGCAGTTTGTATAGAGCCTAAGCTCTAAACAATCAAATTAGAGCCTACCTTCAAATAGTATCGAATAATGTGATTTCAATATTGGAAATCTTTGTAATAGCCTTAAAATATATTTTTACATTTATTTATAAAATTTAAAACTTCAAAAAGAGTATAGATCAACGGATCTAAAAAAACTTTAAAATCTTAAAGATTGACGGCCCAAACATGTGTTACAAAATATACTACTTTCAAAACATGAAATCCATTTTTTCCTCATGTCCATGCATCTTGATGTCGAGATATCAATTTGAAGATATTTGGGCATCAAAACAACCTCTTCTTATAGAATTTTTGAGGTAGGCTCAAATTTGATTGTTTAAAGTCTACGCTCTATATAAACTTTTCCCTAATATAAATACACATACATACACCATTTTTTAACTATATTTTTAATTAAATCCGAACCAACCGCACTTTTTTCACAGCACAATTTTCTTCAATGGTGAATCTTAAATGGCGAGATCTAAGTACTGGAAAGTTTCCACAATTTTAAATTGAAAATAAAAGCTTCTAAGTAGGTCTTCTAACTGACAGAGTACACGTACACTTATTGCTCCTGAGGGAGCATAGAATACCCATTTTTATAAGAGTATACCTGCATTTTTAAGCTTCCAAACCTTAAAAAGGAACATTTTGATTTTTTTTTTTTTAACAAAATAGTTGACAACCACCTTTATTAATTGACAAAGTCCTCGAATTACACTTTTTTTAACTAAATGATCGTTTTAAAGCAATTACTAGCCATTTTAATAATATTTTCCGAAGTCCATACAAATATTCTTTCTACCTGAGAGCTCTACTTCTTCCTTTTTGTGGTTTTTTGAGTACTTAGTGTTTACCTGAGAGCTCAACGCAATAAGCCCCTTGGCTAAACACACCTGCATTTTATGCAAAACCGCTTAATTTTAAGATAAATATCATCCATTATTCATCAGAAATCTTCCAGAAACAAGAACCATTGCGAAAATAGTGAAATATAAAATAAAAAAGTCCAAAATTACATCACCATGAAATCTTCCATAAACAAGAACCCGGATTACGAAATAGTGAAATATAAAAAAAATAAGTCCAAAACTCCAGAATTACATCATAATTATCCCATGTTATACCCACTTTGATGTAGGCTGAATATGTTTCTACAAAATGCCCCTTGGTCTGGTGAAATGCATCTTAATTAAATTATACTTTTCCTATATACATTTAAATTACATAATACCCAAAGAAGAAAGAGGAAAAAAAGATTGAGGTCCAGAATAACCCAATTTCTAGAAAAACCAAGTATTTTCTCTCCCTTCAAAAGAAAAATAAGAGGGAAAATGAGACCCATAATCTTCATCACCATTACTCCTCTCTCTCTCTCACACACGCACACACACACACACAATGCGTGCACTGAAGATCGGTCTTCATCACTATTCACATATCCTTTCCCCTGATGTTCAGTAGAGTTTTCCATGCACTTTGATAGAAAAACCAAAAGAGATCAAGATAAGGCTATTTGCTAACTTCCCTCAACACCAGGTCCTGAAGTGATACTATACAAAGAGGACCTCTAACAAATGAGGGATAAAAATGGCATATATACAGCTATCTCCACATTCCTAAAAAGTTCAAAGTCTAGGGTTCTTTGGTTTTAAATGATCATCCTCGCTACCATCACTACCACGACAACGTTTAAGAAACGAGTCCAATGATGTCTGAACCCCAGATTTGCCCTTGCTCGGACTTGATGAAGCCACTGTTTGAGACCTAAAGTTGATGTTGGCCTGGCTTGGAGAATTCATTGCTTGAGAGCCAGAACGGTTTCTAGTCTGGCAATTTGAAACTTCCAATGAATTTTCTCGCCCGTCAAATACCTATTAAACATTAAAATACCACTCACATTACTATAACAGAAGGTATAAAGTCACGGGCAAGGATCAGAGAACAAAGAATGCCCAATTAAGGCTATAATGTTTCATAATACTCAGGGCACAGAGCTAATATAGAAGCCATATCTCGCTATCAAATTCAGTTATGATGAGGAAGTTGCGATCAGAGCGAAAGAACATTCTTTGGTAATTCTCCCAAACATTATTTTCCATTTTCTCTCGGTTGTTTTAAACAGTTTACTGAAATTTGACCACTTAACTTGAGAATGACTTTGATGTAAATATATAAATATTTTTCTAAAAAGGAATGACCAACAGCAGTAGATCTTTGGATCTCTCTCTCTCTCATTCATAATGGTAATACCCTCCAACTTCCTGTGTTATGTTTAGACACAAGGGTTACCGGAAATTTTTACCTAAATACCCTTCTAAAAAATACTCTAATACATTTTCAAGGGGTACTTTTGTCAAACTTAAGGAGACTATTCAATTACGTTGCCATTTTAACCAGTGAACGCCTGTCCTGCAACGAAGAGGAATGAACAACGAAAAGGAGAGAATAAGGAAGACCGAAGACTGGTTTTGAGGGGATAATACAGGTTTTAGTTAAGGCATGGTTTAGACACAATGATTGCTTGATTTGAAAGAGTTCGGTGGTTTTAATAAATTGGGTTTTTAGTGTTTTCATTGGATCTCAAGCTAAGTGGATGTCGTTTCTCTGTCAAAAGAAATTGGATTTCAGGTTTCTGGATTGGGATTTTTCGATGGAAGAAAATGGGAAGCTCATGGTGACATTGCTCTGACGTTTGAAGTGTTTGGTCATAGATTTGCTTGAATCTCAATCCAAGTGGGTGGTTTATCTCTGAAAAGTCAGTATCTCTTTTCTCTCTGCAAAATACAGGACTTTTTCCTCTTTGTTGGTGAGATAGAACTATAGAAGCAAGGATTTCTGATTTGTGCCTTTTGATTCCTGGGTTCCTCACTGAAAACAGTTACAAGGCTCAAAGCATGCTTCAAAGGATCTCTGGTTTTTACGCTATAGTAGTAAGAAGCTCCTACAAAACCACATTGGACAGATTCAAGTAGGGAATTTTCTCATCAAATGCAACGGTTCCTCTTTCTTACTCTACAACAATAAATATCCTGGTCTCTAATTATCTTCTAGAAAAGAAGAGAGCAATCCATTGTCAAGGATCTTTAGCTCTCTAGGATGTTGGAAGATTATATTCATAAGAAAGATCATGTCTATTTTCCATTCGATCATCAAAAAGAATGATTAGGGGTATTTTGGTCAAACTACATATGGTAGGAATCAATATTTGTCAATTGCGCTAGAATGCAGGATTCATGTAATCCATTAATTTTTTTCCTTTTAATATAAAAAAGGTAAGCGAGGAAATGCATACCTGTCCCAAATTTTCCAACTTGCTCTGGATAACATCCCTGCATGAAAAAAAGGATTTCCATTAAGGAAATTATAGAGCATCAAATATGATAATCACAAACAATGATTCTCATAAACTTAAAAAATGACATAATGGACTCAAACCGTAAACACTTCATACACATTGTATTTAGAATTGAATCTATTGGTAGCAACAAACAACCTTGTGGACTTAAACAGCAATGAGAAAGAGTAAAAGAAGCATTCCACCAGGGTTCCACCATTCAGCTTCCAAAAAATCCCTTGAGGTCCAGATTATGAACCACACATGTTAGTGATGTAATTTTTTTAATTGTTCAATTCAAGTACGCCATTCTTCCAAAGAAAATGTTTCAGTAAAACCTCGATTGCAGTCAATGCAACTACATCCGCACCTCAAAACCCATCTTGGATGTGGATTGGCTGCTCCTCTCAACATCTGATCTGGACTGCCGATTTCACGATCTTGACATGGTCATTCATTTCACATCTGATGGTTTTTCAGTCCATAGTTGTAGTCTGTGGACTACAATAGCAGCGCAACTAAAACCGGACCCTTTTTCTCAGACTTGTGTTGATCCTAATTTATCATTTCTAATAGCACAACTGCAAGTCAACATTGAGTTTTTGCTGCTAATAAAATGAAAATGATTTGAGGTCTTCTTCTTTCACTTGACCTTATGATTGAGCCTAAAATGCTACAAGCATCATCATCATCGAAGCCTTTTCCCAACTAATTAGGGTCAGCTAGACAAATTCAGGTCCAGCATTTTGCTATTAAGGGTCATACCCTCAATGAGGCCATGAGTCCCAAATCTTTTCTTACTACTTCCAACCATGTCCTTTTGGGCCGACCCCTTGCCTTTTTTGAGCCTTCCACCTGAACTAACTCGCACCTCCTAACAGGTGCTATGCGCAGTCTGCACCATATATGGCCAGTCCACCTAAGTATAGGTTCTCATATCTTATCGCCTATTGGTGCCACATCTAAATTCTCCTTAATGTATTCATTTCAAAATCTATCCCTTCTTGTCTTTTGACTCATCCATCTCAACATCCTCATCTCAACAACACTCATTCTATGGGTATGTTGTTTCTTGACTGCCCAACATTCCTTCAAGAAAAACATACCCATAAAATGCTACAAGTATCTGAAACTGAAACACTACAAGCATCTGGCAAAAGGTTATGGATGACCAGATTGAAGCTAGACTCGAAATTAGGAATTTTTCCAAAAGGAGAACAGCCATTGATTGCATATAGGTTTACAAGGTAAAAACATAAGATGGACAGTTGGAGTCACAGAAAGCTAGGTTGGTGGGCTTGGGTATACGTAAAAATTTTCATAGAATACGGGGAGAAGATCTGGAGAAAAAGATAAAACACATTCTATAGTGATACCAATGGCTGCAGCTAAAAACAAGCATTATTTCAGATGGACTTGGAAAAGGCCATCTTTTGTGGTAATATGCAAGAGCACATCAACACGAGTCCCCCTCTAGTAATGGTTATGAACCATAAATTTATGGTGTTTAGGAAGATTTAGTATACTAGTGTAGTTAGAAGGTCTCTGAGCTAGCTAAAGATAATTAACATAAAGTGATTAGGGGTATTTTTTTAACAAATGATAGTGATCATGCTATGCACGATTCTGGGATAATTGCACAATTGCATAATTCCTAACACTTGGTTAAGGAGAATTATTAGTTCAATAATAAGCTTCTAAGTTTAAGTAAAGTAGTACTAACCATTTCATGTTCAACATATAACAAAATAAAAGCCATAAGCACAAGAAAGAAAGTATACAGTTCAAATAATGCGAAGAAAATGCAATCACAACACGTATAACAAGACATACAATCAAGATAAACTAAAGGAAGTATAATTACCAAATGATGTCATCTACTGTGTCATTGGCAAGCAAGTAGTAGATATTCACAGATGATACCTGGAAATGCATCCCAAGGAACAAAAGTAATTAAAGCAAAATCGGTGTTTTATCTTACACATCGATATCAGTGTGTTTAGCATATGAAAGCCTTTTGATATCTTAGCCTGGAAAAGTTTAGAAAAAAGGAAAAAATACTATGAGACCATTTATCTTTCTAACGAGGAGGTCACTACGAGCCATTAGTTTTCAAAATGGATGGCTTGAGGCGTCACAAAGTTTGAGAAATTTCTTTTTAAACATTGAGTCCAGCCAATGACGCACTCACAACCACCTAATTTGAAGAAGACTGGAACACCACTTAGAGATTCCATTGAACTATTTTACCATCTACCTAAAGCATGCAATAAGACAAAAACCAATATAAAAGTTTATAAAAGAAAAACACACACACAATGACCATGCCCAGAGCACTTTATTTATTCCTTTTGATTTGGTAAGTGGAGGTTACACATCAAAGTCATTGTTCTCCATGCTGAAACCCTAAAAACCGTGGAAAGAAAAAAAAAAAAACCATCATTAACTCTGATAAGAACTTTGGAAATCTCAAAAATCAAAGGGATAGTCCCCTTCTTCCAAGCTTTCCTTAACTAATTAAAAAGCTCCTGATGCCAAGGCAATCATGTAATGGATTCATAGTTACACAACTTTCACCCATACTACTTAAAGAAGTCCGATGTTACACCCAGATTTCTACAGATTATTTGTGCAAATAGTCCAGCTTCTAAGAATTGCAGAAACACCTGGAGTATTTCCCCAAACCTTCAGTTTAGAAATCTCGCTAGCACTTCTCTCACAGGCTTAGCTAGTCCCCTAATAGCCAGTTTTTATCATTTGCTCTCATATTATTCTATGGTTTTAACTCTGCCCCAAGATAACATTATTTGTATTACCTGACCAATTCGGTGAGCACGATCTTCAGCTTGAATTATATCACCTGGGGTCCATGATAGCTCAGCAAAAATGACAGTGCTAGCAGCAGTCAGCGTTAATCCAACTCCTCCTGCTTTTATAGATAACTGTATATAGAAAAAACACAAATAAATTTGCAGTCATGAAAATTGGGTACAAACATGGACTAAATGCTTCAATCAAGCAGAGACTAAAAGCTAACGTTTAGAGCAAGTAAAACTTCAGCGATTTAAGGTTTCCCCTTGGCTGAAACTGAAGTTGGTAGCATGATTCACATCCGTATGTTGTCTGCTATACCTATACTACAATTAAACTCTAGCTGAAAGAAGGAGATTAACCATTTGGCAGTTTTTTGAAGCTATATCAAAATTCAGTGGTAAATCTGGGAAAAACAACAAACTCAGTATTATTCTCTTTCTTAATACTTAATTTATTATGTTAAGCAATGATCAGCCACCCATAAGCCATCAAAAGTACAAAACCTTCTGCTCAAATTTCAGGGAAACTACTCAGTTTAACTATCGGCGGAATGCAGCTCCAAGACATCTTACCACACAATAAGAGATCGTGTATAACAACAAAATAACCAATTGAAAATCAAGATATCATACATAAAAGGGTTAGTCCTATCCTTACCACTGCGGCTTTGACATTGTCTTTCTCCTGAAATTGAGTAACCAAATCTTGCCGAGTTGATGTTGGGGTACTTCCATCAATTCGGATAAGACCAACATTCTTTTTCTATAAACAAAACGCAGCTCTTAAGAGGAAATAAAATGTTCCAACAAGAAAAAAGAAATAGAAGGAAATCATTTCGTCTTAAGGGAACATAAAACTCGGATTCTCTTACAAGAAGAAATTGATGAATTGCATCCATCATAGGTTGATGATAAGCAAATATTAGGAACTTACAACCTGCCTGCATTAATTGCAAAGGAAATAAGAACATGTTGATAATATATAACATAATAAATATATATTGTATATAATATATAATATATTACATATGATATTTATATATTATATATACAATATAATAAATATATTATCGATAATATTCATATATTTTTTGATAAATTATATATACTATTTATATAATATATATCCTAACAAAATGGACGGTCTATATTACATAAAATGCTATAGTTCACCATTAAAACGCTATCGATCTTAGCCATTCTTTTGAGACTCGCCCAAGTTCATTCGGACTTTGCTTGGCCTCAGCCTTGTGCTGACGTGAATTGTATCAAGTACCTTGGTACAACACTTAATGGAATAAAGGGGAGGGCAATGCCCCCCATATTTCTCCATCGCTCTCTCTCTCTCTCTCACTAGAATGGGGGCACTACCCCTTTCATCTCTCTCTACCAGGCAGTGGCTCTCTCTCTCTCTCTCAGAAAGGGGGTTGATTTCTACCCACTTTTCATTCCTCTCTCTCCTCCCTCTCTTCCTCTCTGTCGCTATAGAGGGCTGAAGTCTGCCCCCTTTGTCATCTCTCCCTGGAGAGAGGGATCTGTGAGATAGAGAAAGATCGATATGAGGGAGAGAGAGAGAGAGCTGTTAGAGAGAGAGAGAGATCTGAGAGTGAGCAATCGGCCGGCCAGGGAGGGGGAGGGGGGGGGGGGGAGGAGTCTGAGAGAGACATGGCCAAACATGTTGCCATATTTATATATATATATATATATATAGATATATATATATATATATAGAGAGAGAGAGAGAGGGCCAAGGGGGCAGGGCACGTGGCCAAAGCCCCCTTCCCTTTCTTTTGTATTTTTGTAAGCTTTTTTTAATCTGTATAATGGTCATTACTCAGGCGAACCCATGTCCAATCTCCTGAGTAACTAGCATTTATAATAAATGCGGACTTCCAATACAAGCACTCCCAGTTGCCAATGTAAGAATTTGCTATTAGAATTTAGGAAATTCAGGCGTCTATTGTCAAAATTTCTAATTGTTGAACAATCCCATATTGTCAAGCAAGTACCAAAAAATTTCTAATTGTTGAACAAGCCCATATGGTCTGGGCCCTGGCTTCGAATTTGGGTAAGACATTCTAAGGGTCAACTTGCACTACAGAGGTTTCTTTAGCAGTTCTTAACTCAAACTCTAAAGAGACAAAGTCAAGCATTGCCAATTCATAAGAAAGTGAAATCAGTTTAGCATTTTCCTAAGGGATTCAGGGTCATAATACAAACTAAATACATTTTCAGAAAGAATGACAAAGAAATAACAAGTACCAATCCTTCCAAATGAGCAAAACATGCAATAAATGCCCATATCAACTACACTGTTGTTGCAATTGATAATACTTGGTTAACATGAGCAACATATATTACAAATGCCCAACATAATGGGAGCAAGAATGCCAAACTTTCAAAAGAATGGAAGTAGCACCCCATTAATTACATACAATATTTGAAACTGTTTTAGATGTCAGTGGATGGGTGCATTGCAAGACAATTGTTTCATTGAAGGTTCTACATGTTTTTGGGAAAGTATTTGAGATAAAGGATATATTTGGACGCATCTTGTGTGATATCCAAAGGGATACCAACAGGATTACTCATTCATTAGCCAAGCAAGGTGAATAGAGGAGAGGTAACTCATATCTGCCTAATATGTCCGCCCATTACGTAGAATGTACTAAATGTATATACCATTCAAGTAGTGAATTACATGTTGCTTAAATAAGAAATCTAAACCAATATATTCCTCCACATTAGTTTGACGACTTGAAGTTAAGAATATGCCCATCAAGAATACAAATGTGAAAATTGCAAATCATAGATAAATATGAAACTTGAATGATGTTACACCTGAAATGGTTACCTCAACAATAGTTTCCAAATAATCCAAAACTGCCGGAATTTTGGCTTCTGCTGAATCATTGAAGATCTGGAACAAGAAAAAGAAATAAGATTTTCATGAATGCCATAAAATGTTTTGGTATCTTCATTACAAATACAAAATCCATGCAATAGCCCTAGTCATTACTACATAAACACTCAAAGTCCGATAACCTTTTGTCATAGTTTATTGTACCATGTCAGAGAATCTAGAGAGTGAAAAAAGAAAAGAGAATAATAAGTAGAGAGATATCAGAGATGTGAGAGAGAAGAGAGAGAGATGTCAGACGTGAGAGAGAAGAGAGAGATATGAGAGACGAGTGAGAGAGGAGAATGACATGAGGTTCAAACTAACCCCTCAGGCACCTCTTAAACCACTTGTATATTATTAAAAAAATATGAAACGACAGAGTTGCTCATACAAAATATGAAAGGACCCTTAGGTCCTAGAACTTGGATAAGAGGACTTTCAATACTCCCACTCAAGCTAAAGCATAAATGTCACTGCTGCCCAGCTTGGAGCAAATTGTTTAGAACATATTACGACCAAGACCTTTGGTGAAGATGTCGGAAAGCACAACATCAGATTTTATATATGGAGTAGACACCTACTTACTAGACACTTTTTACTGGATAAAATGACAATCTACTTCAATATGCTTTGTCCTTTCATTAAACATTAAATTATTGGCTACATAAGTGGTAGCTTTATTATCATAATACATCTTCATAGGTTCAACAACAGTAAACCCGATCTCCTACATCAGTGTTTTCATCCATATCATTCACATGTAGCATGTGTCATTGCTCTATATCCAGCCTCTAAACTAGATCTTGCCACAACAATTTGCTTCTTACTTTTCCATGTTAAGCTTTATGTACAATAAATGTGATAGAGCCGCTTGCTAGATGGTGAACTAACCCAATCAGCATCTGAGGAACTTTCAATGGCTAAATGATTATTTAGCATGTAACTCAAACCTCGACCTAGGGCGCCCTTTCGATGCCTTAAAATTTATGAATAGCATCCCAAAGATGAATCCTTGAAGAATGCATAAACTAACTCGCAACACTTACTGCAAAAGCAATATCAGGCCTCGTGATGATCAGATAAATCACCATGCCTACCAATCTTTTGTACCTTCCTGGATCCTCAAACAACTCCCCTTGATCACGTAATAATTTGGTCACCCAAGATTTAATCTCTATCAACAATCAGTCACATATTTTCTTTGAGACAAACTAATGCCATGGTTTGATCGGGCTACTTCAATTCCGAGAAAATACCTTAGCTGGCCTAAATCCTTTATTTGCACATATTGTTTTAGATGTCTCTTCAAATGATTGATTACATCTTAATTATTGTCAGTGACAACAATATCATCAACATGACAACTAAAGCAAAACTTTGATCACATGAACGAAGTGCATCCATCTCTTCCATTACTCTCTTCCACTGAGAAAGTGCTTCTTGAATCTTGATAGGCCTTAGGAATAGAATTAGATGAAAAGGCAAAAGAAAAACTTTGATATGATGGAGACAAATTTGTAAAGGTAATAAAATGTGCAATCAGATGTTGTATACCATCTGATACTTTTACAGATGGCAATACGAACATCATCATCACAAGAAGGAAGTGGATCGGTAGACAAAGATGATGATTGAGTAGTGTTGAGTTGGTTGAGGATGCCCATGCATTTCCTTCTGGTGTAAACATTTATGGCCTGCTTCTAAGAAACACCATAACACGTAGATGTACTAGATTCAGTGGAGTCAGGTAATTGGGGTGAAGAAGTATCAACAGGATTATGAATCCTCTTCATAGAAGGCAAGGAATTTTGAGACCTCTCCAGCAAGACAAAAAACATTTTTATCAAGCACATGATTCGCTTCTAAAAACTAAGGAGTCTTTTACAAAAATTTAACATCAGAACAAACAATTTCTTTTATAAACAGGGATGATAACAATGATAACCTTTCACGAAGCATGACTACCTGAGAAAGACACACTTGACAGCCTGGAGATTCTAGCATATTATTGCCAATACCTAATGTTAAAAAACACAAAGGTAGCCACCTAGGCGGGCGCCCAAAAACCCTTAGGGGGTGTCAGGGGAGGGGGGTTGGTGTGGGGGGGTTCGGGGAGCATCTGTTTATGTGTATTTGCATATATGTGCCCACCCAAAAAGTCCTTGGGGGGCGTCAGGTGAGGGGGGTGGGTGTGGGGGGTTTGGGGGGCCTCTGTTTATGTGTATATGTAGTTATGTAGATATGCATGTATGTGTATGTAAGAGAGCATATGGACCCTACGTGTGAGAGAGGGGTCTCGCATCGAAAACTTGGAGGGCATGTTCTTATTTTTGTTTCTTTTTGTATGCAGAGAGAGATATAATATGAGTCCATTAGAGAGAGGGGGGCCTCACATCGACCACTTGGAGGTAATCTTCTTCATTTTCTTCTTATATGTCAAGCGAGAGTACACAGGTCCATGTGTGTCTGTGAGTGAACATGTGAGACTATTTGAGGATATCAGCAGAGTGAAAAGCAGCACCAATCAAGTTATGATCCAAGTAGTATAGGCTGCCCGACTCATACCGGGCACCAATCGTCTGCTATGTCTTTAGATCCCAAATGACACAAGAGGAAGGATAAAAGGTTATAGAACAATGAAGAGATTTGGCTAATTTGCTCATTGATAATAAACTGAAAGGGAACTTTGGAACATTTATTATAGATGACAGAAAGGGAAGAAGCAAGAATAACTATACGTTGCCCTGACCCATTGGACAACGATCCATCAGCTAGGGCAAAAGAGGAATTATGATTAAACTAGTTTAGAGATACAAAAACAATGGACTCACAAGTTATGTGATCAGAGGCTCCTGAGTCAATAACGTAGGGAGTAGGTTTCTAAGAGGCAAGAAGCCCAGATGTACCTCAATTGGCAAGGGTGACAATAGAAGAGGAAGAGGGAACCAAAGACAGCTGTACTTGTTTAATAAGTTCATTATGTTCATCTTTGGAAAGCACAACAGAGTCACCAGTAGAATCCGACTGTTGTGGGCCATCATGGGGCCCATTCTGACAAAGGTCATGACTCTCAGAAGTGTAAGTAGCCTGATTTGCCTAAGCAAGCTTACCAACCTTGTCCCAACACTTATCGACTATATAATTTGTACCCCAACAATGCGGACACTTGCAAGTTCCTCGACCCCTAACCTACACCTCGGCCCCTTCTTGAGTCACGACCACATCCTCAACCTCTACCTCCATCGCCTCTCCTAAGGAGTGGGTGAAGCAAATATATTGACACGAAGATGAGCACATAAACATTCCTGAGAGACGAGAGTTCACTGCTTGCCAAGATCTATCCATGAATTAAGGCCAGATAAAAATTTGGCAACTTTAATTCTTCATGCTCTCTTCTGTGATTCCACATTACCAGATATAGGCTGCTATGAATTCAACACTTCCCGCACAACCCTGAGGAAACTATAACACTAAATCACACTCTTATTACCCTGATGCAATTGAAACATTTTTCTCAAACAGCTCATATACCCATGAGATATTTTTATCTGATGAATATGTTGATTTCAAAGTGTCCTAAATTTCTTTAGTTATATATAGAACATCATAATGGCACTTTATTGGGTGACTACTCCACAACCAGATCATGATTATATAATTCTCCCTCATCCACTCTTCATATCCACTATCAGATATACTACGCATGTCCTCAGTCAAGTATGTCAGTTTCCCGCTTGCCCCAAGGGATACCATGACAGATTGAGCCCATAGAACATAATTGGACTCATTTAATTTTACTAAGGTGATTTGTATCCCCACAGTTTCGGTAGATAACACAAGCCCAGTACAAAGTTAGAAACCACTTAAAGAGGAGAGAGATGTTTATCATTCACATCTGGTCATCTTCTCATACTTGAACGAATTAGGGCAACACCACATTAAATACATCAAAGCATCACCATACTACTATTATCGAACCAGGTCACGACATCTCTATATATCTTGATCTTGAAAGACAAAAAAAAACACACAACAGCATCGCCACAATAACAGCAGATCCACATGACCTTCTGCCCACAAAACTCTAGGAAACAACCCTAGGGTTTAATTCGAACAGTCCCAAGGACCCTTGACGAGATCAACATCAACAGGTTTGGGGTTTACTTTTTTTTTTTATTTTGAAAAGAAAGGGGAAGATGAAAGGCTAGGTTTTACCTGTTTTATTTTTTCCTTTTTGAAAGGAAAGGGGAAGTGAAAGGAAATGAGAAGATGAAAGGAATGGGGAAGAAAGGGGAAGACAAAAGAACTTAGATAGAAGGACTTTGAACATAACAAACATAGCACTATGCAAATAGTTCCAATAACACAAGACGATTCGTCATTAACTCTGTTAGTCAAATGAGAATATGCATACAGGTATCAACTATGGATCCTATGGCAGGCACAGGCACGTAAACACATATCTGAGAGAGAGAAAGAGAGATGGTTAGATGGCTACTTTGGTGCCTACCAACTTGCAGACCTCTTTTTTTCTTGTGCCATTATTCAACAAGAGTATTTCCAAACATATATGATGCATCAAAATAGAGAGACCTCCTATTACAATAAGATCAAGAACTTTAGCACAAAGAAACATATGAATCATTATCATCAACAAAGCGACACAAATACTACATGCTGGAATTAAATATGTTAGCATTTAAATCTGTATAGAGTTTAACCTTGTTGATGAGTTGCTTTTCCGAAAACTTGAGGGTGTCAACCTCTTCCTGGGATGTGCAAGCCTTAATTTTGTTTTTCACCATCTCCAACTGCAAAAGGTAGATACATGTTAACACACACCAAATGAGAAACCTCAAATTTTAAAGATAGGAAAATGAATTGGCACATCCATCAAATTGCATCTCGTACATCATACCAATAAGATGCTCATAATAGGTCCTACTGCCAGTAAAAGTCCAACTAACCTGAATGAAAATGAGCACCTGCTTTTTCATAGTTAAAGCAGTGAGAGTAGATCTTCTCACCCGAGGACAATGCAACCACATCACACACATGCCAATTGACATACCAACAAATCTGATAATGAAAAGTTCCTCAATGGGGAAACAAAAGTTTCCACTTTGGAAAAGAAAAGTCCCCAAGTGATGGTACAGAAACTCAAGATGAATCTGAAGTTCATCAAATCTATGAGGAATGCAACCCCATGAACCAGTCACAGTTAACAAATTAAGACTAGAGCCTAAAAGGGTAAAAAATGTAAACATCACCTCACCAAGAGTGCAACTACAGACTATTTTGCAAAACACCACACCTCCCCTTAAACTAGACATGTTGGGTCCACAACTGATGGTCTACCCAGAAATAATGTCAAGCTATAAACAATCCCGTTGGAAGACAGTCAAGTAAAAACAACCTACCCCTATTCCCTGTTTCTCAAAAAATGAACAACTAATATTTATACTAATTGCTATCACCACCACATAAAATATTAAGCGCGTGTTTGGATGCACCAAAAACACTTGATATAAACCTCCTTCCCACCCCTCCCCCCCTTCCCACGCCCCACCACTCCCCGCGTACAAAACCTGCAAGGGAAATCCATCAACTCACCAGAAAACTGCAATTTCTGGTCATCATCACTTCTTCCTTCCCTCATTAGATCATACCATTTCTTTTTTTTTTGAGAATGCTGAACTTGTATTTTCAGACCCAGATAATGAAGCCCTACTCATCGAGCTTGAGATAGAGCAGGCATGCAGGCAATTTTCGCATGCCCCATATCCCCCCTTTTGAGATGATCAGGTTGGTCTCTCTAGATTTTGGCAGAGCTGCAGAGAATTAGGGCTTGGTCACATAGGATTAGGATTTTCAGGGGTTTGGAGGTGGCGTTTCAGTTACATTGGGGAGAAATTGCATTTTATTTGTTCGAAATTGCATGAAATTTTGATGGGTTGCAGTAAATTAATAGGATTTTGTTGGATTTTAATTGGTCTGAATTCGGATGCTTAAGGGAATTAGATCCCAACATAGCCAAGCACCATGTCAATGATTACAAAAACATAACCTAAAGGACTGGAAAGTTCATTTGAAGAGAAGCTCAACCAAAGATGGTCTATAGCAGCTGTTCACCAGAAGCAGGGTAAGCTTTTAGGGTTTCTGTGATGATGCTGGTTGCCAAAGCTAGGGCTTTTTAATGTGTTTTTAGGAGAAAGATGGGAGTAGAGGAAGGATTTGATGTACTAGTGTGCTAACATTTGAAGAAGTATGTCAAAGAAATTATGTTGGGTTCTAGGAGAAAAGGGCCATATTTGATGTAGAGATATCAATAGTTTCAGAATGAAAGAGAAGAACTAGAGAAAGACGGGTGTTCAGAAATGCAAGGGAATGGAGCTTTGAGGGTGCGGACCAAGGATGCTTTTCAAAATGTAGAGTTTTAAATGCCAAAACAACTAACAAATTAATATTATATAGAATATGGGGTACCAACCAGAAAGATAATTTAAACAAACAAACAAAAAAAAAAAGACGTTGCAGAATTCATTAATCTTATACAAAATAGCCTACTCGTGATAAAACTTCCTGTAATCCAGATAGGCACTAAAATTTCAGTTACCCTTCATTCTTGTCTTCTTTCCATAGCATCTTTCCAAGTGAACAATAGATAAGAAAATGCATAGAGAACCACAGTCATGTACCAGACATTGTAGCCCCTAATAAGGACATATGAAGAATTTCAAAGCACTTTATTGAAACAAGTGTTATCAAGATTGGACCAGCCACAAGACCGGGGAGGGGCCCGTCTAGTCAAAACCAGTCTAACCAAATGGACTTATATTTGAAAGGAATCAAGAAAAATAGTAACAATAGTGTAAATTACGAAATATATTAAAAAATGGTCAAACATTGTTCAACCAGTCTGAGCAACAAGATACATCAATATTTTATGAGTCTAATGATATTTTACTTTTAAGGTTTTGATCGTAACGTGAAACACTAATATTGAGAAGAACTAAGAGACACATGGAAGAAATAGAAGTGCCATAAACCTCAATTGTCCTTACCTCCCGAAACAGAGCACGGATTTGCTTCATTTCCTTCTCATCCAAATCCAAAAATACCTACAATAAGTAAGCTAGTTAAGACCCATTAAATGCAAATTCAGTAAAACCCACTCGAAAACGCCCTGTGTAAACAGCCGCATAACGATACAAGAATCAACACAATGCTCAACAGAAATTAAAAAAAAAAAACACAAACTGAATATTCTGTGGACCAAGAAATAAAACAATTCTTACCATAAAAACTTCCTCCAGAAGAAAAAATATCCAGCGATCGAGATTTAAAAGAAAGATATGGTTTGTATAAAGCCGAGGCTCTAAATAATCAAAGTAAAGTGCACCTTCAAATAGTGTCAAGAAATGTGGTTTCAATACCGGAAATCTTTTTGACAGCCTTAAAATATATGTTTATCTTTAATTATAAAATTTACGACTTAAAAAATAGGATAAGATCGAGCAGATCTATGAAAACTTGAAAATCTTGAAAACTGACAGTCCAAAAATGTATTACAAGATGCACTATCTCCAAAACTTGAAATCCATTTTTTTCTCATATCCATGCATCTTGAGGTCGAGATGATCAATTTGAGCATATTTGGGCATCAAAACAACCTCTTCTAGTGAAATTTTTGAGGTGCGCCCTAATTTGATTGTTTAGAGCCTCACCCTTATATAAACTTTTTCCTTAAAAGAAAGTCCACCAGAAGTTATGGGTCAAAACAGGGCTCTACTGTCTTTAGATGGAAAATGCTAGGACATAAATGACCCACTATGGAACTTGTTGAAAGGAATATTATGGAACTTGTTGAAAGGAATATTACGTAGAATAAATATGCAATGTGTTCCTAACTATTAGGGTAGTTACTCTACATGGACTGAATCATTACCAATGCCACTAGCTGAGGAAGCAAACTCTTCCATTTTGCCCCCAAAAAAGTTTTGCCAGTACATTCTAGATCCATATCATATAATAGATGGCAATGCAGATAGCACAACATCACAGTCCCTACAATAGCCAGTTGATGTAACTGAACATCTAGATTATGAGTATGATGAAGCTACCTGCTGCCTACGTTTTACAGGAAGTTGAGAAAGCACATCCTTTTTAAGCCTGCGGAACATAACAGTTGCTTTTATTAAATTATGCAGCTCGTCATGGTTGCTTGCTCCTTGATACAATCCAAATATACCCTGCAAATTCAGCCTTCCCAAATCATATAGACCATCCCCGTCCATAACCACATATGCAAGTCATCGTAAGAACAAAGACAACATAAACCAAAAAAGTCCAAAACTTACACCCTTGCAATATCTCTGACCATATTCATGTACATTATTGTATACATCAGGATATAGAGCTTCTAACTGCAATAGGAAGCAGATCAATATTAATTGACCAACCATTACGAAAAAGAAACTTCACCATAACTACTACAGCGGCAATCATGCTGATAGTTCAAAAAGAGTTCAAAAAGAATGCTAAATAAAACCTGTTTGAACAGCTCAATTGGTCGAGATAATGCTGGAGTGCCAGTTAAAAGAACCACATGTCGAGCTCTCTGAAAAAATTAATTAGCAAATCAGGATATAAATACTCTTATTTCAATGGCTATACATAGTTAAAAAAAGGTAACCTGCAGAATTGGAAGACAAGCACTTGTCCTTTTGGCTTGGGGGTTCTTCAAGAAGTGTGACTCATCTGCAATAACAATCTAAAGAAAAGGAAATGTGAGAAAGGAAGATAACGACTCATTGAAAAAATTGGGGTCATAACTTTCAAATAATAAAATTATCCTCCAGAAAACCCCAGCTACACCAACACTCTAAGAAAAACTGCCTCTAGAAAGCTGTTCTCCAATAAGACAGTCTTGTTGACATGTTTCCTACATATTACACAACACATTAAATGTGAGACAAGTACTACTTAGGCAAAGTGTTTCCCAAGAAGGTGGATGGTAGAACGACTTCATTGACACTCCTGAAGACACCAGATTAAAAACTGAAAATGGAATCATGACCCACCTGAGTTGAAACAGCTTAAACAATCCACGACTTAGAATATTGAACGAAGTTTTATCAAATTGTAACCTTGACGAACCCCCCCCCCCCCCGCCAACCCAAAACATAGTTGTGCTTTACCAACCCTGCCAAAGTTGACAAGACTTGAGACCCCGCAGAGATCTAACCCACCTACAAGCTTTCTAACTTGGAATGGAGCATCAGGGACTTGCATAGGTGGCTACTTTCCTTCAGAAGACCTTGCAAAAAGGGCCCGAAGCATAAACTCATACCTGATCCCAAAGAAGCTATGAAAGATCAAGGAAGAACATCCACTTAGGGAAATAGACGAAAAGGAGGACGAGGATCCTCTTTCTAAATATGCCGTGAGGTGGTCTTATCAAGCAGGCATTGTACCAAGTACAATGCCCTGGAATAGTCATGGAAGATGAGGAAATATGGCAGATCGGTCAGGGAGAAGGGACATAAAATTTTCATGAATTAAGAGTCACTTTTGAAAAAAAAAAAATTACACAAGACAGAGGAGTATCAGGCAACAAAAGACATTCCTAGAAGAAATGGGTTCCAGCAATGTTGAACATTTGGATGGGTGGCCAAGATTTGCGAGAAGCCTGTTGAAGATTTGGCAAGAAGCCTGTTGAAAGTATGTTTATGCAACAAGTTGATTATCTGTACATGAAAGAAATGTGAAATCACGAATTGGATTGTTTGATAAGATGATGGACAGGGCTAGAGTGTCTAACACACAGCAAATTGCCACCAAAGTTAAGAGAACTCAGCCGAGTCCACTCAGACTTGGCCAAGACAATCAGCCTTGGCACCCTGCCAAGCCTGTAACCCTCCCCAACTCAGGTGCATTGGGCTGCTAAAGTTCTCCAGCAACTTTAGCAACTCACAGGAGTACCAGCATAGTTCTTGATTGACTCACAGAGTCAGTCAGAATTCACCAAGTCCTATAGTGGAACAGAACCCCTATTTTCCTTATTTCTCTTCATTGAAGCATCCAATCAAGCCCAACTTTTCGCTGTAAGCTCGTTTTTGCATTATCTATCAATTGACCTAGGTTTGGTCCAAATTCAGAAAGTTGTGATTTCTTCACAATTGTCAGTCAATCCTATATGAAAATTGTTTCGTAAACCTGTTTTTGGGTTCTTCATCAAATCATGGGACAAAAATCTCAGGTTCCATTTTTTGGATTTACTATTCACCAAAAATTTCAAGTGTTATGATATCCTAGATCTGAACTGGAATCCCAAATCTAATTTGGGAATTTCAATTTGGGGTGCTTCAGAACTCTTTGACAAATATAGGAGGTATCGATTTGCACTGAGTGCAAAAATTTCATGATCGACCTCAAAATTTTGGGTTTCACTTTTACAAATTAAAATCATACATAGCTGATTTTACAGACGTTTCACGACATTTTTATATTCATAAATTCAATTTCCCAAATTGCAGATACTTTTGATGACTTTTCTAGTTTTTTCTTATTTTAAAATGACCTTTTCCAAATTATTGGGATTTCTTCTGGCCTATTTAGACAAGTTGACCAAACACAGCAAGTCAACAAGGTATTCGCCGAGCTATCTCGCTCTAGGCAGGCCCCGTGTTTCGCAGTAAGACCAAGTTTTCTGACCTTGATTGCCACGAATGATACAAAAAGAATGCAGCACCCATGATTTCATTTCATGTTAACAATAGTGCAATGGCAAATGTAGTAAACTCAGCAAGAGAAGAGTGAAATCCTTTAACATTCTTTTTATTGAGAAGTATACAAAGAGACCATTCACTTTTCGTATAAGAAGGTGACAATCACTCTCGTTTGTCAGATTTTAAATCGGGTGGTTGTAAGACTTGCATTCACTAGAGTTGAAACTTTCAAAAATCAAACTTTGTGACACAGGCGTAAGAATTCTAATTTGATATTTAACAGCTAGAAATAATTGTGACCTCCTATAACAAAGATAAATGACCTCATAGTATCATCATCATCATCAAAGCCTTTTCCAAACTAATTGGGGTCGGCTATAATGCTCCCGGTCCGTCATTCTGCTCTATTAAGGGTCATACCCTCAGTGAGGCCATAAATCCCCATATGTTTTCTCACTACTTCCAACCATACCCTTTTGAGCCTACCCCTTACCATTTTTGAGCCTTTCACTTGAACTAACTCGCACCACCTAACAGGAGCTGTATTTAGTCGGCACCACACATCGTAAGTCTACTCTCTCTCATGTTATCGCCTATTGGTGCCATACCTAAATTTTCTCGAATGTATTCGAAAACGAATTTTATCCCTTCTTGTCTTGCCACTCATCCATCTCAACATCCTCATCTCTGCTACAATCATTCTATAAGTACGTTATTTTTTGATCCACCAACATTCCGTCCCATTGAGCAAACCTAGTCTCACAGCTGCCCTGTAGAACTTGCTCTTCAGCTTCATTGGTATGCGGCTATCACATAAAATTCAGGTTGCATATCTCCACTTCGCCCACCCAGCTCTAATTCTATGTGAGACATCTTCCCCAATCTTTCCACTTTCCTGGATTATCGACCCAAGATATCGAAAATGCACTCTTTTTGGTATTTTCTGACCATCAATCTAACTACTTCCTCACCTCTACTCTGATTATTACTAAACTTGCATTCCATATACTCGGTCTTAGTCAGGCTGATTTTAAGATCATTAGATTCTAGAGCATCCCTCAAAAGTTCTAACTTTGTGTTGACGCCATTTCTAGTCTCATTGATCAAAACTATGTCATCTACGAACAACATGCACCACGGTACCTCATCTTGTAGGTGCCTATTTAAATCGTCCATAATTAAGACGAAAAGGTATGAGCTCAATGTTGACCCCTGATGTAGATCTATTGGCACTGAAAACTCACTCGTCTCTCCACTAGTTGTTCGTACACTAGTTAGCGTTCCATCGTACATATTTCTCACCAAGTCAATGAAGTGTCTAGAGACACTTTTTTTTTCCAACACCCACCAAATCAAATCTCGAGGTATTCCATCATAAGCTTTCTCTAGATCAATAAAGACCATGTGGAAGTCTTTTCCCTTCGCCCTAAACTTCTCAATCAATTGTTGACTTCCCTAGATAAAACCGAATTGGTTTGTACTCATTTCCAATCCCAAATTGCTGCCAGGTGCCAAGACGCAACTCCACTAAACAATCAATCAACTTTGTTTTCGTTGCATGTAATCCCAATCTCACTTCAAATAATGCTAGCAATCAAGAATAAACCAATGAAAAGAGGGGAAACTAAAGGCACCATGTAGTACACATACCATTCCTCATTATTGTACAAGGAACACATGTTACAAATGTAGTAGAAAGCAAAGAGAGTAAGGAATGGTTTTGCTCTTTAATGTTGAGATACAAACCAATGAGTTGATAAGCAATTTCGCAGTTGATAGAGTCTGGAGACAAGTCTACAAAGTCTTTCTTTTCTTTTTTTCTTGGACAAGTCTAGATAGAGAGTCATTACTATGCTTTACAGTTCAAAGATAATGTTTACAAAGAACAAGGAGCTAGTTGTCCAAGAATTTGCCCCTGGCTTTCATATATTGCTGAGTACATTAAAAAATGATGGCAATGGCATCATGAGGGAAAGGTTGATGGGACACAGGTTTATAGATCTCCTGAAAGGACATGATACCATAAATATAATTGGACCAAGAGCTGAAGTACTTTTGGGGGATAATGATCAGAAGCGCGCTATATATATGAGGTGATAGATTGAACTTAGCAAGCCATCCAGTCAGCCAGAATTGGACATGCTAAAGGCACATGTTGGCATTCGATATTTTTTACAGAAGTTAAAATGTACAAACCCACCACTTGTTGGACTCAGTTCCTTGATATGACTATCTATTATATTATGTATTACATCAACAGCAATTCCAAGGTCATGAAGACATGAAGGACCCCAATGATGGGCCTAATTCCGGAACCAAACATACAAGACAAGATTACCTTGAATTTAGAAGCAAGCAGCACATGTTGTAACTTAGTAACCATATCATAAGAAATTATGTTGAAGACACCATCCAGCTGTATAGACCCCTTGGAAATTGAATGAACTATTTTAAAACCAGCTCTGTTTGATCCACCAAACTGGGACAAGACCACCTGCATAAAGAACATACCAGAGCTAACAATCACAACATTTGACACCAATCGCTACATGGATGCACAAGCACGGATAGAGCAAATGTACATATGCCGATTATATTGAACTAAAGAAAAAGGGGGAGAGTTTCAGTGCTTTCTGTGTCTGCTAGATTTTGGAGAATTGCTACGTCAGAATAAAACATTATTTATACTTGTGAAAAAAAATGACCAGCAAACAATTTAGTAATTCACGGCAAATGAACTATATGGATCAATCCACAAATAGCTCGAAAGAAACATGCCAGGATGTCCGACGGAGGGATATTCAGCCACTGGTTAATCATCTGCAAAAATAACTTCAATTAGACATGAGCTACCAAAGCGTTTGCCGCATGAACACTATCTCAAATTACTTCAAGACTGAAAATTTAACAATGCATGTAAAAGGGATATATTAAGTAAACTGCTTACAGTAGCCCAATGTAAACGCAAGGATGATGGAGTGAGAACAAGAACGGGCCAAGAATCCTGAATGCATGACGAAAAGGCAATTGCCTGTGGGCACATGAAAGAGGACAATGGAGGACATAAAATTACAACTCATGGCCTCAAATGACAGAACTTACGTAGAGACAATTCACATTATAGAACCAATAACTTCTGTCCAATGATTCTTTGTTCTTGTTACAAGTACAAGTCAACCAAACATGAAAGCCAAAATGCAATCAGAGTAACAATTAATATAGTAATATAAAACAAAGACATTATACAATAATCAAGGCCATAACAGAATGCATGAAGACAACAAAAACAGACCACATTAGTGAAAAGAACAGCAAAGGACATTCGTCAATTAAGAAAGGGTGTCTTTGTATAGAGCCTAGGCTCTAAACAATCAAATTAGAACCTCCCTTCAAATAGTGTCGAGAAATGTGGTTTCAACACTGGAAATCATTGTGATAACTTTAAAAATATTTTTTCATATTTATTTATAAAGGTTAAAGCTTCAAAAATAGTGTAGATCGACAGATCTATGAAAACTTGAAAATCTTGAAAATTGACGGTCCAAAAATGCATTACAAAATACACTATTTTCAAAACTTGAAATCCATTTTTTTCCCATGTCCATGCATCTTCATGTAGAGATGATCAATTTGTGGATATTTGGGCATCAAAACAATCTCTTTGAGTGAAATTTTTGAGGTAGGATTGTTTAGAGCCTCAGCTCTAAATAAACGTTTCCCATTAAGTAATGAGTTATCGTGCATGAATTTGGAGTTTGAACATCTCGCAGCTCATCCTTACAAAAGAAAAGCAGTGCACCTTGAGACAGAAGGAACCAATACAATTAGCACCTTGAGACACCTTCGAAATGCACCAATTCATCCCACTCTGCTGCTTCCCCCACCATTGACCCCCAAGACACACGCACTCAAACAACATAAAAAGAAATACAACAAAACAAAAAGGGCAAGGAAGGGCAGACATTTTAACATGTAACTTCTAAGGAAGCTTTATGGGGGAGTGGAATTTGACAGTTGGGCAAAAAAATTCAATACACAAATGATTACTGTAATGCGTAGCATATAAGTGTGATGCCGAAGTCAGCCCAACATAGTTTAAAGGAACTACGTCCTACTTCTCCAGCAATCAAATGTTATTTTTCATATGTTTCACTGCATGTATGAGATTTACCAAGAATTACCAAGATACCCCAGTTTCCATGGGCACTACTACATCAAGGAATATTAGCATTTGCTACATAATTCACATAAGGAATTTCAAAGTCATAGAAAGTGCACAAACAGACAGCATGCCCCTTCCTCTATACTAATGTATGCATCCAATGCAAAATACGAATATCATGCAGCCAACAAGATATCCGTCTAATTTAACCAATGAACCTTGCTGAACTACAAGTATTGATACAACCTACTGGCAGGTAGCAGAAAGACTCAATAAAGAATCGAAATTAATAGCAGTTAATGACTAAGACAGAATTACTTGTATAGTTTTTCCAAGACCCATCTCATCCGCTAAGAGAGCACGTCCCCCATGTTCCAACAAAAACCTGTTCACAAGTATGCTGATTCTGTCACTGATCATGATTAAAGTTTCTAATAACAACAGAAAACCGATTAAGCCAATCAAATGGTAGCGCCTATTTGTTTTAAAGCAAAGAAAATGAAATGTCCGAACCGAAAGCAACAAACATAGAGAACGAATTTTAACATCTACTGTCCACGAATATGCCACTAAAGGTCGAAGCAAGAAGTCATAGACTAGTTTGATGATTGCAGTCATAAAAGAAAATTACTCAAAATGTTATTCAATAGGAAGTCAGAAACTGGACGTGTGCATGTGCAGTTCATAGTTCATATAAACCTGAAGGATTCCATAAAAAGCACCATCAAGGCTGTGTAGTAAATACATCCCAGACAAGAATACCAAAGCTTGTCTGACCCCATGTCAAGATGAAATTCATACCAGTAAATATTACTCTAAATTGCCCCCAAATGCACCTTAAACTTTTGAGAGAGAGAGTTATATAGTTGTTAGGTGTATTTTGATAAAACTTGCGTGAGTAAAATTTGAATACAACCTTTTACATAATCAGATAGTAGTATATATGGATACCACTATTATCAGATATTAGCATATATTAATCTGATTTTTAGGGTAACAAAAACTGATTTTTATGGCTTTCCTCTTTGCTATATATTTATAATTTTGATAATAATAATGTTAATGTGATATATTAGTACTGATATTAGCATCATTACTCCACTATGTCAATCCATTAATAGCTACAGATACATATACTTATCACTGCTAATAATTCATTAGTATCAGCATCAATGACAGATATAATATCACTTAATATCAGGCGCCAATATTAACAGATATTGATAGATTTATCCATATATAATCTCTCTCATACATACATACATACATAATACATACACACACACACACACACACACACACACACACACACACACACACTCACATACACACATATATATATATATATATGTATATACACATATATATATAGGGTGCGGTTTGTACAGAGCCTAGGCTCTAAACAGTCAAATTAGAGCCTACCGTCAAATAGTGTCGAGAAATGAAGTACTGAAAATATTTGTGATAGCCTTAAAATATATTTCATCTTTATTTATAAATTTTAAACTAGTGTAGATAGATAGACCTATGAAAACTTGAAAATCTAGAAAATTGACAGTCCAAAATGCATTACAAAATACACTATTTCCAAAACTTGAAATCCATTTTTTTCTCATGTCCATGCATCTTGATGTCGAGATGATCAATTGGAGGATATTTGGGTATCAAAACAGCCTCTTCTAGTGAAATTTTTGAGATAGGCTCAAATTTGATTGTTTAGAGCCTCAGCTCTATATAAACTTTCCCATATATATACACACATATATATATACATATATATAGGGGACTGATTTCAAGTCACCATGTCACTATAGTATAATGAAACCACACCTCTAGAAAACCATGTTAGTGGTGTATTTATGACCCCAAATTTTGCACGTACACTCTCTTCATCGCAATAATCAATCTACCAAAAAAAAAAAAGTCAATTTGCACCTTAGATATGATCAAAATGAGTCTACTCCAACAATTAATCTAGGCCATTCATTTGGTGAATTTCAAGATTGACCTTTATAAATTTAAAATAATTTTTTCCCTTTTTAACATTGTTAATCTAATTATAATAAAGCCATCTAAAAGATTTCGAAAGCAAAAAACATCTTTCAAAGGCCTAGATCTCAGCATCTCATCGAAATGGATGGCCCATATCACTAGGGCTAAAAGATGCTTTCGAGGGTATGTTTCCAAATTTTGGTGTTTTGTTAATGTTCATTGGAATCAAGAGTGTATATTTAAAAGTTGCCGTCAAACAAATGGCCATAACATGGTTTTTGAAGATTGTTTCATTTATCACTACATAACCGTTGCATGAAATCACTCTCCAAATATATATATATATACTAATATCAGATCAACAAATATATTATAATATCAGATCAACAAATATATTATAATATCAAATCAACAAATATATTAGTACCTTAGACACACACACTAACCAATTAACTAACTAATAAACTCAGAATATAAGTATATATAATATATACTTTGTGATATACATTGTAAAGTATCGGCTATATAAACTTTTATACTTCTAATGTAAAATGATAACAACATATGTTAATACATACTATGATGTTGGTGTGCTGTACTAATAGATCATAGTTAAGGCATATATTAACAAATTCAGGGGACGGAGTACTATTGTTGCATTCAGTTTTAAGTTTAGAGAGTAGATTTCAGACTAATTATGCTACATGATAATAATGATTACATCCTCATTATACTGACATTATTTACAGTGATTGCACTAACTAGTCTGAAATCAAAAGGATATAACATACTCTGGTGATGCTAATTTTCCTTTTTTAAGAGATAATGTCAAAAGGAAATTCGATAAAAAAAAAAAATATGATAGATGACATTCAAGTAAAATGAGAACCTCTTAACAATGACCCTTGAGTGAGTTGGGGTGCCAGAGAATGTAAAGCCATAAATTATTTTGGATTTTGTATTACCAAAACAGAAAATCACATAGAAATCTAGATGTTGAAGGCTTTTGATGCCGTCAGGTTCTCCAAGTCGAGAAATCCATTTATTCAAATAGACATCAACCCGGGCACAGGGATTTCTACTTGAAAAAAGTAATTGCTCGAGCTGAAGGATCTGGTTGCCTCATATGCCATTGACATCTTCTTGACTCCTCACAGTTTGCCTTCTATAGTTTAACAATACTTGAAACATATAATTTCAAATAAACATGATGTTGCCCGACTCCAACCTCAGGAGACAGTTTCGACAATGTATTTGACAAGACATTCAAGCAAATTGAAGATGTAACTTAGACGGTCATTTAAGAATATAGGCTTTGATATGATCCCAGCAGTTTCATGAAATAAATTATTTGTAATATATTTTACCAGACTTTCTAGCATATTCAAGATGCAGTTCGAACTGTTTGAGATATATTTTTTTACATGGTTATTTGAGAAAAAGCTATTTGATATAGGCTTTTGGAATTTTTGCACTAGTTTTATTAATCTTCTGGTCATATTTGAGAAGTCCCATTTCCCACACCCATTAAAAGCCCATCGCAATGAATGATGGGCTCTAAATTGACAGCAATCCATATCAATTAAGAGGTGAATGCTAGAAGTGGCAACTATGAGTTGCACTTAAGCGTAGAGCTATAACTCAGAGAAAATCAACAAAGAAATTATGGAAGAGGGAGGGAGGGAGAGAGAGATTAGTTGAATAAATAATTTTTTATTTGAATCATCTATTCTGTTACTAATAATATGGACAAGTTACGACAAAAAAAAACTCATTCAATAGATGAATTATGTAATGAATGGTTAAAACAAGCTAAATTCCAGACTCCCAAGCTTCTAGTTTAAGCAAACCATGGAAACAAGTATCATCAGGGAATCTAGACAAGTTATCATTCTATGGTTCCCAGCAGTCAAGGCTTCATTTTCCTGAGCTCTCATTTCCAAGGCCCACCGTTTCCAAGGGAAACCACAATGGAAACTATCAAAAGGACCATAGGAAGCCTAATTCAGCAAACCAATTAATGATCCATAAATCACATCTATGAAAATCATTTCACATGCCAAAGACAGATGAAGCACCTTACTCCATCTCGTTGAAATGGCAGGAGGTTTGATTCAATATTGCTCGGCATCATTTTGTATAAGTCTGTATGAATTAAGCAAACAAAATCAGAGGCATCTAAACCAATTAGGGAAATAATCAAAGCAAACATGTGTAGCAAATGAAAATACATAAAGCTAGCAAAAAGGAGATTTTCCATCAGAAATGGTAAAAGAAAATTAGCTCGATTAAATGAAATATAAACAACAAATAAGTCACAATACCTTACAGACATTTATGGAGCAAAGTCAACAAAATCAAAACTCCACCTCAACAGACCACAGCTGAACAAAATATATAACATTTTAACAGGAAATAAAACATTTCATATCAGACAATTCCAATGCCAGGACATGCTTCTAGATGACATCGCATTTAGTGTACTGGATATATTGTGATGCCTGAATCTTCTGCAGTTTAGTAAAGAAATGATCCATTTAAACCATGACCATGAGCTAGTGCACAGATATACTCCTGGAATAGAAGCAGATATAGGAAGCCTTGTTGACAGGATCTGGCTATTTCTAAATATCCTAATAATTCCTCTAATAAAAATTAAATTGGTACTGCAAGCAGGAAAGAATTTTGGGGTTATCAAATGATATGTGAGTGACTTACAATGGAAGGGTAGCACAATATCTCCACAACTTCGTAATGTAATTCACTTCTACTTAAAACATTATGAGTGATGTAATATATAATACAGCACAATGCGTCCTTTAGAAAGGACAGTAACACCTAGTGCATTGAACATACTAGTTTTATTTGATAAGTCAATGCATACTGAAATGAGTACCAATACTGGTATCAAACCAATACCGATTCAAGCAAGCTAAATCTTCTAATCCATGATTGGGCCAAAGAAACAATTTGAATTTAATGGCTTTATTTGTATGTCTCAAGATGCTTGCCCCTATCCAAAAATTGCCATGCATGTAATACATCTACAAATTCACACATTCGAAAATATATGTAGGATCAAGGGATGAAAATGACTGAACCTAACATCCACGCCACTTTATAGGACCAATAACTCACTTTACTCATATTCTCAGTGTTAACACTAAAATTTGACACGGGGATGAAAGTGAAACTTTTTCAATGTTAGTCCTAACACTAACATTTGACATGGGATGAAAGTGAACCTTTTTCAATATTGGAAAATCCTGGGATTAGGGCACTGGCTTGATATGTTAGGGCTATGATGATTGCAATACAATGTCTTAGGTTTTCTTCCCATGCTGACCTATGTAAAAGAATTATTGGAAAAACAGTAGTGACATCATCAAGTGAATATACTTTGGGAATTTCAGAAAATGTTTATCATCTTTGACATATCGTCTAGTGAATATATTGATCTAACTTGTAAGACACTTAGGTCAGAACTAAGGTCCTAGAGGCATAGGGACCTACTCAGCGAGATTAATTACGTCCATTAACAAAATTTAGAGCCTTTTCATGTCATTTATTTTAACAGAAAAGTTAGGCCATTTGTAATTTTGATGTACATTCATCTGTGGAAGCCTATGACGGTAGCATCATCTTTAAGTACACATGTTAAAGGCAGTTCACGAATTAGAATTATTAACGCACAAAATAGCTGGACTCACGGTAGCATCATCTTTAAGTACACATGTTAAAGGCAGTTCAAGAATTAGAATTATTAACACACAAAATAGCTGGACTGATGGGTTATTATTTTTCGTTTTGCCCATAGTGCAACATGATACCAAATATAAACGTGTTTTCAAGAAACCCTATGTACAAGGAGATCCAAGGTTATAGCCAATCAAATGGAAACAATAAAGCTAACATTCCACAATGATGTAGATGATTGCAATTACCATGAAGATCTGAAACATTAGAAGCAGCATCAAGAGCACGTCTTACCAGCGAATCCAAATTGTACACCTGGCAGTCACATTTTCGGTAAACATCCAAATGATGAGCAAGTACATGGTTTCTATTAAAGCAAATGACGAACATACAAACCACACAAAAGGTTCAGGGTGGAGGATGTGATGCAAGAACCATGAACCTACTAGAATACAATCTTTAAAGCAAGTCAACCAGATTATTTCTATAATATTGACAATCCCAATATGGGTATTACAATTCCTAAAGTCAGCAATCTTAAGCTCTCCATATGCTCCAGAACTATCTTATCGTTTTTCATATACGGTGTTCTAGCTCTATATTTCCCACGGAATCTGGCTTCTAAAGAATAAATTTGATTCAAACGCATGAAAACAAACAAGAAAATCCACAGAGCACCGGAGCAATTTATATACCAGAAGAAACTGATAAAAGTGTCAGAAAGGCATTTGGTTCGTCCTATACATCCCTATCAACAATTCGGCATTATGCCACAATAAACATGACCTAGAATATGCTGAAATTACAAATTCTAAAGAAAACTTACCTCAACATCTAAGCCATCCACTTCGCTAGGAACCTTTTCAGCCGATGACAGGGAAGAGAATGGGAACAACCAGAGCCTGTTGTATAGCCAAGAACAAGCAAATACCATAAAACAAAGAGTGAGAGCATGTTTCAACGCGACCTCTACAGAAACAGATCAATCCAAGCTCACAGAAAGTATGAACCTTTCTTTCGCCTGCCAAGTACATTTGGGTATCTTTTTTATGGCATTCACGAGTGCCTGGAAGGAGATAAAACATAAAAATAAATAAATAAAACCAGCAATATTGTGAATAGATCCAAAAAAGAAATAGAAAAAAAAAGAAAAAAGAAATAGCACCCATGCAGTAAAGCTGAATACCTGCTGATAATCAAACTTAGCGGCAATATTGCAACTAGGATGAAGGAAAAACTTAATTGTAATCTTCTCCAAATTCTTGGGGCAAACATTGTCTTGGATGCAGCTTTTGTTAGAAGTATCATTCCAAAGTGATGTTTTCACAGAACGATCACCTTCACAGCGCCTGCCTGATAAAGTTAAAAAAGAAAGCACTCAAAAACATACTTGAAAATATTAACAATGATCCTGTTGAGAAACCCACAAAAGTACCATTTTATAGATGAAATCCATCTAAACGTCTTTCTTTGGGATAAATTTTAACAAAATAATGCAGCATATAAGAATGTGCAGGGATGCATAAACCATGTGCATGTAACAAGACACAATCACCAAAAATATCACCATACACTATGATATTGAATGATTCAAAACAAATAAAACCTATTTTTGTAATGTCTGGTTCCAAAGCCAAATAACTGAAAATATTCAGCAGGTTAGATTTACCAGTTCCATGAGATACTTGCAAAGCAGGTAAAACCAAAGGCGGGGAAGCCTCAATCTGGTACAACAAATAAAACAAGCATAGTCCCGCAATGTGAAAGACTGCTAGCATCAATAAACTGGAATAAATGTTCAATTAGAAAATTCATTGGTAGAATAGCACTGCCAACTCGATAAAATAAAATAACAAAAAGAAAGTGAAGAAATGCATGACGGGACACAACAACAAAAATGGTCCATCGTAAACTGAAGACAACGGATGGCATCATGTTAGCAAAAGGGAACAACAGAATTATACCGACCAACAAGGGATTCCTCCCCATGTCCAAGATATTGCAAAACCATATAAACCAACAACTCAAGTTTGATACATGGATTCCTCCCCCACAGTGAAGTTGAAGTTAGATGGAAGCTCTTGCAGCAACCAGGCCCTAGAGGTGTCGGAGGTCTATTAAGTTAAAGGTAAGACTTTACTGATGACCTATTCTGGCCCAATCCCCACTTGCGGATCAAATAAACCAAGGTAAGGTCGCTACAGCAAGGACTAAGAGTACAGGGTTCTAAATGGCCACAAGTGAATAAAGTGGGGTATTCCAGTAACATCATTGCCTGGGGCAGTGGTACAGGGCCTTGCTCATGGCAATTGCAAAATCTCTATGAAGAAATTTGAACCATATAAAAAGAATAATTCGCTGTTTCCACACACTTGGGGGGAGGCTAACTTCAAGGCTAATGCCTTGGTTAAAGATGGGATATCTAAGACATCCACAATAGTGACTTTTGATTTCAACCTTGTTTGGTATAGGCATAGTTTCTTGTTTTTTATAAAGTACCACCACCTAGGCTCAGTTCTGTAAATGTAAAAAGAACACTGATGCAGTCGTCATACGAGTAGCACAATTTTTTATTTGTGTCCAATATTGGCGCTTCAAGTTGCATTTGAAGATCTTTCAGCTATTTACAAAGGCCATTGCTGGGCTTTTTCCTCAATTTTACTATTTCAGGCCTCAAATCATAGTTTAAAATGTCAAATGAGGATGGTGACCAATATTGTGACTAATTAAAGTTTTTTATATTATGACTAATTAGAGTTTTTTATATTTTACCAATTATTAGAGGTAACTTATGATTTTAAATTATTTACTTGGATCTTCATTTGGCTTGGGGTTTTATATGTTTATAAATAAAATATTACATGTCCATTGTAGAAGGATCGGAAATTTTATTGAAATTGCTAATGAAGTTTGAGTTCCGAACTCGGTTAATGGTTGTTGCACTCTCCTGCTTTTTGAGTTTTTTTTCTCGCCCTCACCAATTCTACTACATCAAACACACAACCTTGTACATCAATTTGATAAAAAAAAATTCAGTTACCAATTACAAATATAAAAAATAAAAAGATAACAGAATTTACCATGAGTGAGCTAATTAGATGATATTTATCCCCTAACAAATATAATGTCCTTTTACATAAATCTCCATTGTATCCCAATTGAACAAATGAATTTTCCTACGAAAAAAACAAGCCTGAAAGACCTAATGGCGTATTTGTTCGGCGGAAGGTTTCGCTTTGGAAGCCAAACCTTTCCAAAAAATTTCATTCCATGGGGGGCATCATCCCTTTATATTTGGCGCAAAACCATGATCTGCCCAAGCTGGGTTCAGCACAAAGGACCACATGTGCTGGCCTTGCCACGGGCATAGCCAAGCCGGGTGGGTTGCTAGCCCATTGTCACTCCTTTTGTCCAAACATACAATCTGAACAGACCATACCAACCCAACCTTCCTTTTCTGACAAGAAAAAATACTTCTTAATTAATAAGAGAAGAAATAACACTTCAATCCATCATAATTACTTGCTTAGCAAATACTCTCTTCATGTAAGTCCCTGAAAAGAATGATGAAGACCCACCGTAACAACGGGAGATATGATTGAGGTCAATGAATCCACCGCTTCTTTCAATGAAGCAAGAGGAAATGTCCAAACCCTGCAAGAAATGAAAAATATAAAGGATTTTTTGTACTTTAGACTGAAAATTTAAAAAATATACATGACAAAACCATGAAAGCTAAATGTAAGTTCATGAAGCATCCAAAGCTTACCTCATTGTTCATAGATTATGGAATTTTAACGTATCCAATAACGAAGTGTTACATTGAAATAATTATGAACACATAAAAACAGTGAACTTTCTCACAAGCGGAGGCAACACATAAAACAATGAGAGACCACAATATTTCGTGGAAATTATTCAGCAAACTCAAAGATCATATGCATGACACATGACACAGAAATGCTGCACTAATTTTACAGGAGATATTGAGATTAGCACATCATAGAACAGTTTCCTCCATATGACGAACCCTGTTTTCGTGGCTGATTTTAAACTGAAGAGCCCTTAAATGTGTCTAGTCCTAATGATAATTTCAAAAGTCGCCCCCATATCACTCTTTCTGTGGAGGTCACAGAACTACTCCTACACACCAAACTGTTTACAACTTTTTATGCTAAAGGACTTTCATGCCTAGGTTTACCACTAAAGTACTAGAAAAAGGAAGCCGACTAAGGCTATCATGTTCCTTATGCATTCATTTCCGGCTTCATATTCCTTTCATCGAAAAATAGTATGTAGAATCTTCTACTAACTCCACATTTTTCATAAATAATTCTTAGTTCTAGAGCTTTAAAACTGATCTTTGCAGACAAGCTTAAATGCATACATAAGTTGTCTTCATTCTCAATAGCCATTCGTTAGAAATTTGTACGTGAATCACCATAATTACGTTTCCAATCAGTAAAGGACAAGGAAGTTCTGATCCCTATGTCAGCAAAAGAACTCCCCCGTCTTACCAACGGAAAGAATTAGCTTTTTTCATGTCAAGACACAGTTAGGAGGCTGTGAAACAGCCCATGGAAATAAGATACAAATGTTGAGCTATGTGCTGCTTCCAAACAAGTCAGAGATCATGGGACCAACCAAATCAGTGTTCAAGGAGGCAAAAAGAAATATGGTAAAGGGTAATCACAAGCTAAAATTTGAATTACAAGATCCATTATGGTCATAAAGAGCCATGAAGTCATACAAGTCATATATGACCATGCAATTACAGCCCTATGAGCAAGGAAAGTGACATGGCTGAACATTCATCATCCCATGCAATTTAGCAGCCCGCCCCAAGCAGCACAATGACAATAATGAGTCATGAAACACCAACAGAAGCCTTCCCAGGCTAGCGATCAGGGCAAACACCTAAAAGGTTTTGAGTCTATCTTATCATTGTTCAAAGTGTTTGAGCAAAGTCAATCCTTAATAATCCCAGAGACAAAAATCCTAACCGACAGGGACATGGAGGTAGAACCTCTATGATTCTAGGAAACTAACAAATTTACAAAATAAGGCAACATCAACAAAAGCACTTCTAACAAAAGAAAAAAGGAAACTAACTTCAACTTTCCAAAATAAAATTAAAGTCCCAATTTTTACTAAATAAATATAAATATCTTAATCAAATTTTTCAGCTGCCTTTTGACTAAGATTTGACAGAACTTCAGAAATAGGAAAAACCCTTGAGATAGTAGTCCTAGATTTCCGAGAGAACTCAATTTGATATTTGAATCACCTCAAACAGACATATACATGAAAATTTATGACATTAAAAAGCAGTAAGCATCATTAAAATAATTCAGGACGAAGGGGGACTTGGCTCCTATACCAATTTTATCAGACCAATTTGCCCCTTGGAAGCATGTCAACCTGAAGGGATTGTACATAGGGCTCTCATCCCTCCCTGAACCAAAGAGACGAGCTTTTGTTGCAATTAGTGGATTGAATGTTCTATGTGTTCATCTTATCTATTTATAATGTTTCTTATCTGTTTACACTTCTCTGTTCACTGTTTGTTTGTACACATCTATTATTGGTATCAGAGCCATGTCGTCTGTTGAGATTAAATTCTTATTTACTTTGTTGACTGGGTTAATCTATAGTCCGTACTTGGATTAGTATGCTCTGCGTCTGCGTAGCTGGACTATGATCTCTCGCATAAGAAAACAGAGTACGAATTAAAGGTTAATTTTATGAATGATTTCATTCACTGTCAATACTTTCTTAGGTTTACTTAACAAGAGCTCTAAAGTCGGCAAGAAGGCCTGGAAAGGAGTTCATACTTTGTAAACCAAATCAGGAAAGTTGGCCTTAACCTACCTTTGTTTTACAATCATAGTCAACTCTGTAAATTCTTTAAAATGGCAGATGAAAACTTCTCAGATACTTCTATAGACCTTACTTCTTCTTCGGGCCCAGATTTCGAACCCATGTTTTCAAAACAAGAACATCTTTTTGAAATAACCTATACCCCTGAAAAGTTTTATGAAACTCGTTCCCAGTTAATTAATCCTTATCATGTTTATGATAAATCTAGCTAAAATTGGACTAAGCGAATCAAGAAACTTTCTGGAAAGAAGAATCCTAAAGCCATCAAAGAATATGTTCAAGCCTCTTCTTTTGATCAACACCATTTTCCAGCCACCCAAGCCGAACAATATATCACAATTAGCCATCCCAAAAACCTTTTCCCTCAATGGCTTAAAGAAGGATATCCATTTTGGAGCTATTAAACCAGCCTTAACTTTCCATGGTCGAAAAGGAATCGAAGCAGTAACCAGAATTGCATTGTTAGACACTAGATTTCTAGAATACCAGCATGCATGCATCGGAACAATCCAAACAACCCTAAATGCTGGCACCATTTTTGTTAACTTCTTTCCTAACTTCAATATCCCTATCAGAGACCCCCATTTGAGCTCGGCATTCAAAGTTCAATTACAAATTACTGGCACCAGACAAATTGAAACTGCTATTGTAGCCACACTCCATTACCAAATGGTGCTTCAGAATCATGCTTTTGATATTGTTACTCCTTTACCTCCTGAATGTGAAAACACTACCCTGTTTATCAAAGTTGATAATAACTCCCAGCCAGTATGTCATGACATCCCGAGACAGATATCAAGGGAACGGTTGCTTGAGTTAATTCCTTCTTCTTGGGTTACGAATTATGAAAATTTACAAACCCAAAGTCAACCTGTGATGCAGTCTGAGTCTAGAATGACAAGGTTGCCAGATGGAATGGTCCAAATAAGTTTTCAGTCCCCAAGCAATATTGAAAATAAAACCAGAGAAATATTCCCTACCCAATTCCATGGTTTACTTGAAAAAGTCTCAATTGTTGCATTTGATAAAAATGGGAATCCTATTTATGAGCAAAAGACCTCAGATGGTCATAATTGATTTGATTGTTGCAACTGTTCTACTTGCATCCAAGATCAAGACGATGAGGAAGAGAAGGAAAAAAAAAAATTAAAAAGAATAACTCTTCTCAACAAAAACTTCCCCAAAGATTCATTGATGGTGATCCAACATTGGATTACTAGGTAAAAGTTCTGGAAGATGGGATTATTATGTAACTTATGGCAGTCAGCACCCAAAAACCTCTGAAACTTCAGAAATCATCCCTACTGGTTGGGATGACAAGAAAGATGCTACTGATGAAAAGTCTTACATTTTTTAATGTATGATGTTTGATCCGCACAGTTCTAATTATGCTAATAATTTCCCTCCATTACATGATTATGAAAAGATCCAGGATAATGAAAGACACTTATGGAAGATTAGAAACCCTACTTCCAGAGATTCTTCTGGAGCTTTAAAGACAATTTCTCCTGCTGAAGCAAGCCTTAACTGGCAAGCTGAGAATGCTAAATCTCAAAACTTAGCATTGCTTCGGATAGAAGAAAAACAGAATAACATGTCTTCTCAGTTGCAAGGTTTAATTAGCATAATTATGCAGTTAAAAGAAAAAATACAACTATTGCATGAAGAGTTGATGCAGATTCTGTATTCAGTTAAAGACATTCATGAGCAATCTTAATTGTTGAATCAAAAAGGAAAAGAAAAGGCATTTTTGGAAAAACAATTGCAAAGTCTTGAAAAAGACCTTTGGATGAAATCTCAGTATTCTCAGCCTCCATACCAATCCCAATTTCAACCAGTATTAGGAAATCCTTACGTTCCAAATTACCCAACTTAGATAAATCCTGATCCTTTTCCACCTACAAGAACTCTATATCCTCCTACAGGTTTAATTCCTCTAAGAAATTTTGGTTTCAGATCTTCTAACTCTTTTGAAGATGAAAGACGTTTCCAAAACTTTCACCTGGTAATCCAACTGTTAAATCACCATCAATGAATCTTTGGTGAAGTTTTTGTTGAGAAGAGTTTTTCTTTTTAATTATTTTTTTTTTCTTCTCTTCCTCATCGTCTTGATCTTGGATGCAAGTAGAACAGTTGCAACAATCAAAACCAATTATGACCATCTGAGGTCTTTTGCTCATAAATAGAATTCCCATTTTTATCAAATGCAACAATTGGGACTTTTTCAAGTAAACCATGGAATTGGGTAGGGAATATTTCTCTGGTTTGATTTTCAATATTGCTTGGGGACTGAAAACTTATTTGGACCATTCCATCTGGCAACCTTGTCATTCTAGACTCAGACTACATCACAGGTTGACTTTGGGTTTGTAAATTTTCATAATTCGTGACCCAAGAAGAAAAAATTAACTCAAGCAACCGTTCCCTTGATATCTGTCTCGGGATACCATGCAAGAAATTCTCAATGTATTGGTTGAATAAAGTGATGCTACAAATCAGCACAACTAATTAAACTCCCAGCCTCCAAGGGCATCCAATGGAAACCCTTCAAAGGGACAACCAATACCTCAATGATCCAATTTATGATGGATACCAAAGGACACCGTTTACAGGTCCATGCAAACCTTCTCAAGGGCTACTTTACTACCACAACATTCAAAGCCAGCATGGGCCAGACATCTAGCTATAATAAGCGATTTGTTGAAGCTTCTCATTCTTGAAAGCCAAACTATTGTAGACCTTGATGCTCTAGCAATTGTGTTGCCAATCCCCATCCCGATCCACTCATTGATGAAGCAACAGAGCCAATTGCACCATTTTTCGAGTTCACAAAAGGGCATGGAAAAGCATGCTATAATGGAAATGGAAAGGAGATGTAGCCCCAATTCCTTAGGAAATGCTAAGATATTTGGTGCAAGACTAACAGGTCAATCCATATCATCTTAAATTAGGTCTACTTCCACTCCTGTTTCTTCACAATACTGACTTCAGTTCTTCTCCCACGATTATTGACTAGATACCAAAACTAGAGTGGGAGCCAAGATTAATGATGCAGAACAATTTTCAAAAAACACTAGCGGCCCCTAGACAGCCGGCCTGGCACTCAAAGCCTAGGCGGGAGCCCTGAGGTGAAAACTTTAAAAATATGAACATAAGTGTTGTTCAAACACACGTGTGCAGATATTGGTGTTAATTTTGTATGTTTTTGCATTTATATGTATTCTAAGTAACTTTTCCCATGTAAATATATACGCATGAATGTTGAAACGTGTTCAAAACCTCACATCATTGAAAATTTAGCGAAAAAACATAAACAAGTCCATGGTGTATGAGTCTCCGACTCTCCAATCCATACTCCACAGTGACACACGATCATGCTACACTAATAAAATACAAGATGGAATACAAAAGAAAAGTACAAAACCAAAAACAATCGATTTAAGGTGTTTGTAGATTTATGGATCAAAGTGACCCAAAATGCCCTTAGGCGCCACTTTTATTACACAAAAATGTGCCCAAGCCTAGGTGCTAGGCGGACCCTTTTTTTTAACACTGATGCAAGGTGCTTTTCAAATGCATAATTTTCACCTATATGCAATGTTTTAAAAAAAGGTTTGCCTGACGCTTAGGCGCCTGACTAGGCGGCCAAGACAAAAAATCTGCACGCCTAAACCCAAGCGGCCTACACGGGAGGATGTACCTGGGCAGGAGCCTAGGGCCGTAAGGCCATTTTTGTTTTTTTAGAACGCCCAAAAGGGCAAAGGGAGTCATTTTGACCCCCAAAGTTGTATAAAAACGTTATGGGGTTTATTTTTAACCCCCATAGTGAAAAAAAAAAAAATTTAAAAAACCCTCAATATATGAAAACCCCCAAAGTGAAAAAAGCTACAGGGCGCCCGAGTTCTGGGCACGCCTAGCATTTTTTGAAACCTTGCCTATGTGTCTATTTGAGGTGATTTATGTCCCAAATTGAAGGCTCTATGAGATTTATGACTACTATCTCTAGGATTTTTCCTAATTTGGATATTTCAGATCTTATACATTCTATTGATAGGTAGATGAAATTTTTTACTAAGAATCTTATAATTAATTAGCGAAGTTTGAGACTGTAATTTGATTTTAGCAAGTTGATGTTAGTGGCCCAAGGTCAATCACATAAGAGATTCAGTTGAGAATAAAGTTTGCTTTGTTTAATGGCGCAATCCATCTAGGTCTTTTTTCCTCCTTTTCGTAGGTGTTGACTCAATGAGTCTAGTTTTAAGTTGGTGTGGATGCCACTACAATTCTAAGTGTCCTAAATTGTGTTAACGTATTGACTCCTAATACAACTCAGGTAATTCCTCTTTCATCCTCTCCTCGTTTCTCTAATGATTCCGCCACCCTACCAAAACCCTGAGGAAAACCCATCTCATCCCAGAGCTCTTGTGAACCCCAACAAACCTACCCCCTAACAAACCCTTACAACAAACCTTGCATCCTTAATCTTTTCTATCCTAAAACCAACCTCACAATCCTCCTTCCATCCCCATATCTTGCCGGACTGTTAAATTTGGGTAGCTTACCCTCTACTTGCAATCCTCTACTTTACCTTAACCTCACCAAATCCTCCCCCATTGACCTACCCTAAGTCTTACACTTTAGGCATTTTGTCATCCACTCTTATGTAGTATAGGAGACCTACATACATAACCTACAGTCCCTAACTAAGTAGGAGACCTAAACATTTAAACATCCCAAATCATAATTGAATTAGAACTCGAAACTAACTGGCCCTTCTTCCTTAACCCACCTCGCATATGAGACTCGTGTAGGAGCCAATCCCCCTTGATACTAAATCACTTGACTAACTTCATAGTGTGGCCAAGCAAAAATGCAAGCCGTGCCATGAATGCAACAACAAGTGTTTGACGAAATTTTTGCACTGTTGGATACTTAAAATGCAATGCATCCTATCACCATATATGCATGGAATCCAATGAAGTTGCACATGCTCCAGCAAGATAAGGAAAAAAAAAACGTATTTGTCACTTAATTTTGTTGGGTCAAGACACATGGAAAAAAAAACCTAGTTGTCACTTAATTTTGTTGGGTCAAGACACATGGCAGCAAATTGTATACACAACAGGCTTAACATTGGCAAAGGACTCATACTGGTAAATTTATTCTTGCATTCATTGGAGTAAGTCAACTATCAACAAGAAATGTAGCACGTCATAGAAAGGTTCAGACTACAAGAAGCAGATACAGCATTAAGTAGGATACTGTGCACATTGCGCATACTAGGAAAAGCAGGTGCAATAGACAGCATGATTTTGGGCATTCTCGGTAGATTTAGATAGCCTAACAAATATCCAAAAAAAAATTAGATCTTTGAAATAGCACTTAGACGTGGTTCAGCATATATCTATTTACTGCTAATCAAACATAGATACCATAGCAGCAGAATTATACTTGCCTTTCCTCAGCATTCCACTGTCTTCCTTTTACTGATTGGCAAGCTTCCTTTATTCTCTGCAGAAAAATTGGAGTTAATGCACAAATCTAGGATATATACTGAAAGAGTACTCACAACGAGATTCCCCTGAGCAGGAACAGAAGTTCTGAACATATGGCATTAGAAGCAACAGACATCATCACAAGTTGACCACACAGGATGAAGTTAAAATATAGGAGAAAGCAAATGCGGACTAATATCTAACATCAGAAAAGGCTATTGACATTTAGCTTGAATACAAGTATGCAGCCGAGGCCCCCAGAGGAAACCACAGAATTAACATGTCAAAAGAAAAAGCTACACAAGGAATCTGCTAAAAAACCTCATTGTATGGACTTTGAGCGGCAACTCGGTCTTGGCCAATCAAATATAACACCACCCGTATTTGGCCTTTCATATTTTGCGGACTTAAACCCTTGCCTTTACTTCCCAGATCTGGTGAGCACGGAATACCACACCCAGATCCTTGTACTGGTGGAAGCTCACGCAGTATACTTTGCTCTAGGGTACAGCCTGCTGTTTAGCAATAACTGCTTTAGTTTGTTTTTCCTACCCAAAACAGCAATAGAGAGAAATTCACACAGCAATTTTCTTTCTTCTAATGTTGACTTCTTTCACACAATGGTAATTACAACAACAATAGCAATAATAAGAATCACCTTGCACAGATCTCAAGTGCGAGCGAATTGGGGAAACCATAGAGATCTGAAAATCAGAAACAAATGAAATAAATACTAAACAAGCATATAATTCAAATCTGGCAAAGCACAGAAACAGCATTTGGAATAGTACGCTGGAAATAATATCCTTGAGTGAACTTAGAGCCACTTCCAAATTCTCCAATTGAGATTCAGGGTAGGTCCAGATCCTGCACCAGGAGCAACAAAGGTTTACTCTAATTCAATTGAACCAGGAGACAGAAGCATATTAGCATTCTAACACAGGTTTAGCTCAAAAGATAGTTTCACCATAACAATGCATAAGCCAAGGAAATAAAATCTAGCATGACAAAATTCTGCTAATAGACAAAAACATTAAAAAGAACAAGCAATGAGATTGTGAATTCAAATAAATGACAGTTTTATGCAAAGGAACCCATGACTAAAATATGAAATCAATGGGCCATTTATTCCGAGTGAAAACAAGGAATATCAATCTGCGATATTAATTGATAAACCACCATAAAGAATTAAGCTCTATCAAGGCATCTAGTTGTAATGCCAAGCATTATACAGAAGCCATAAAGTAACTCATATATATGCAAGTGTAGCCTCTAACCTCCTACTTTGATCCCACTCATGACCAACCACAGACTTCAGCACATGCAAAAGTTCCTGCAAGAAAGAAAAGTTAACAAGAAAGATAACAATTCTAGTACTCTAAAACTCTAAATGTCATGAGATTCACTTAAATTTCAAAATAGAAGAAAATCAATTAACCAAAGCAAACAAGATGAATTCTCCAATTGGGACAAGAATTCAAAGAATAGCCTGCGTCCCAATACTGGATGCTTCAATAACCCATCTTATTAGGAGTAGAGCGTATCCATACCTGATGATGCAATAATGCAGAAAAAAAAAAAAACATATACACAAACAAGGAGAACAAACCACACATGAAGACATTCAATATTACATGTAACGGATGAATTCAAGCTAAATCAGGAAAAACATAAAAGACCACCCAAAGTTCAGAGAAGGATACAAATGAGAAATCACTGCAAACATTAGAAAAATATGTAACTTATATATCAGTAGACTGTGTTTTAAATTGACTCAGTAGAAGACAGAAAAATAACAGAACATATTTAGCCTAATACAGATTTTATACGAGAAAGTAATGTATTCAGTTTATTACAATGTGCGTCTAACGCAGTTCATGAAACACACAAGCAGTTCCACTAAATCGGAGACTTCTACAAAACAAGGCTGGAACTAAAATTGCACTGTGTTTTCTTTGACTACATTGATGGCACAATAGAAGCACGCTATTTTCATAGCATGGATGAAATAGTGAGGGAATACACTATTATACAGATTTCTATGGCGAGTCAAGAGACAAGGAAACAAAATACCAATAATTAATAGAAAAATATATTAAAGAATACTAAGGAATCACCACATTTTATGGACTTTTCCATGGCAACTGATCTAAAGGTGGGGAAAAATCTATGTTCGCCAAAAATATGGCAGATTCAGTGCTTTCCTCGGTAGTTCAGGTGTGCTAAATGAGATCAAAATTTAATGTAGAACAAATATCTCAATGTAACAATCTATCTAGGGTAATTCAGTGAGATACCGGGGAAAAAAAGTACTTGCCCTGACAGAGAGAAACAAGAGAATTAAAGGGCTTCCACCAAGTCACCATGTGTTTGATGGTGTTTCTTACTGCAATTCAGATAAGAGTGCAAAGAAAACACCCCCAAACAAAAAGGTAAAAAAAAAAAAAAATAATCAATAACAAACTTGTCTTGCATAAGAAATCACTAACATCAGCATACATGAATCATAAATAGTTTTTCCACGACTAAGATCAGTTCCTGAAACTGAAATGAAAGTAGTTCCCTCTTTATACAGAGATTTCAGGAAATCCAGCAAAGTTCAGGAACACTGGCACTGGTATGGGAAAAAGGAAGGATTTTATTTCTACTGAGTTACACCGAACTTGCAAGGCGCTTTTCTCAAAAGAGCCCTTGAATTTTGACAATAACTTTGTACGGCGTCTCACACAAATATGGAGAAGAATTAAGATGATCCTCTCATGTAATAAGAAGGTAATTACCAAGTTTGACTGTGTAGAAGGTAATTACCAAGTTTGACTGTGTAGAAGGTAATTACCAAGTTCGAATCGCTTTTTCCAATAAAATTCAGCAAAATGCATTAAGAAGCAGAAGAAGAATGCTAGAAATTAACTGTAAAATCCAATACATTCGGTAGTATCAGAACTTTCCTTAAGAAGGTCTTCTAAGAATCTAAAAACAGAAAACACTTGCCCTGACTAAGACAGTGAGGCACCCAAAAAACGAAGGGCTCCTACCGTGTTGTATTGAGTTTGCAAAGCGATTCTTCCGGGAGAATCTCTGAATATTTTGATTGTAACCTTCTGAGATGGACTCTTTGAAGGAGATTGAGAAGAAGAGAAGGTATTTTTCACTGCAACTCTTTTGAGAGCTTCTTTCTCCATTGAATCGAGCTCCTCTGCACTAAAACCCCAATCGTCTTCCATTTGGCGCCTCTTTGCTCTCTCGCTTACTCTCCTCTAAATTTTTCTTTGCCGTTAAGAGAAGCTAATTTTATAGTGGGTCACTTGCTTTTATAAAGCAGGGAAGATTTTCCCAAAATATCCCTGAAAATGTGTCCTCGTTTGGTGTTGATACCCTCGTAGGAGGGATATAATTTGGAATTTTGGGAGAAACTGAGTCTAAATAAAATTTGCAAATAACGTACACTCTAAAGAAAAGCGCCCCACTTTCGAATCGGAAGAGACACTTTCAGTAATAACCTTGGTTTTGTACCAGGGTTTCTTTGGAAGGGAGGAGTAGAATTGGACATCTTTTCTCGAGGCATGGCTGGGTGGGTACACATCCGAAAATGAGATGATGTTCAGTTTTTTTAGGATTGTATAATACGAAACTATTTATCCGAAAATGAGATGATGTTCAGTTTTTTTAGGATTGACTATTTATCCGAAAATGAGATGATGTTCAATTTTTTTAGGATTGTATGATATGAGACTATTAATAATTGTTTTAAAGTCATAATTAAATATTAAATTGGATGGTTTGGGAAGTTTCATGAAGTTTGAAATTTGTTTTTTTCAATGTTCCTTTACCTTGTGTACAAAGATCTCGCAGCTATTCTCATTCATTCGATTTTTTGGCTTCACATGAGTCACGACATTCGTGAAATATTTTTTTAGAACTTTGGGTCTAATCAATTTTACTCTTACAACACCCATTTTGAAATCTAAAATACAAAATAATTATAATTTTTTTGTATAAAAAGTAAATGATCTATTTGTGAACAATCCCCGATAAAAAGTAAGAAAATGAATAAAGACACTAATCAATAGTTATTGGGATTTTATTGTTGAATTTGTGTGGTAGAATGGAAACGAGCAACTGACATCCCAAAAGACCATTTCTCTAGTAGGAGCATGCGGTTCATTTGCTCTCTCAATTAAAACTTATGGTAGGAATATTTGATGGACCCCAAAATTTTGGGGAAATAACCTTTTGATTTTAAGAATTAACCTCAAAAACAAAAAACGCAAATTGCACACTCTATGCTTGAAAAAATGTCCCGAAAATTGAACAATGCCATCCAATTTTTGAAGATCGAAGTGTTTAACTCAAAATCCACCGTAGTTTTATAATAACCGTGTAGCAATTCTTAGTTATATCCCAATATTCTCTAGCCGAACCCAAATAATTAAGAAAATGTCTGATGATGGTGATCCCAATATTCTCTGTAAAACTCTCAAGTAACTCTTTTAATTGAGGGAATTAATATATTTTATGCTCCGGGATGAGTATGCCATGTACGAAGAGCCACAAACAACATACCTAAAATATGGAAGTTTTATATAAGATAGCGGCATTACTTGTAGAAGTAAAGGTACAATGATCCATACTATTGAAATTTAATTGGACGACGTAAATTTGGTTTTTTCCGTCGCGCTGAAAAATACATGCAAAAGTGAGTGCGGTTTGTATAGAGCCTAGGTTCTAAACAATCAAATTAGAACCTATCTTCATATGTTGTCGATAAATGTGGATTCAATACTATAAATCTTTGTGATAGCCTTAAAATACATTTTCATATTTATTTATAAAGTTTAAAACTTAAAAAATAGTGTAAATCGACATATCTATGAAAACTTGAAAATATTGAAAATTGACAGTCAAAAAATTTGTTACAAAACACACTATTTCCAAAACTTGAAATCCATCTCATGTCCATGCATCTTGATGTTGATATGATCAATTTGATGCTATTTAGGCATCAAAACAACCTCTTCTAGTGAAATTTTTTAGGTAAGCTCTAATTTGATTGTTTGGAGCTTTGGCTCTATATAAACTTTTCCCTTTTTAAAAACATGTAAAATGTTGGTCGGAAGACTGCGACTTATTTTTATTGTCAAAAAATATATATATATATTTTAGGGGAAAGGCTTCTATACTTCCCCTACAACATAGAAGATCTCCATCCAATTTAGATAAAGTGAGCTACTCACCTTTTGATCTAGATCCGACGCCTCAAAATATTTTATTTTTAGTTATTTTTTATAAAAATTGTAGGACTATAAAATTTAGTACTGCCATCTTCCCAATGGGCCCACACCTAAAAAAATATTAAAAATAAATTTTCAATTTTTTAATAATTTTTTTATAAAATATAATGACCAAATAACCTTTGAAACTTTAAAGGCTATTTTGGTAATTTAATTTAATTGATAATAATTTTTAATATTTTTTTGCAAGTGCGAGTTTAAGATGGGAGTAGATGTCTAAAATTTGGTGTCAAAATATTTTATAAAAAAATAATTAAAAATAAAATAGTATAGAGACGTGACATTGTGATTAGTGTCATTTCAACCGTCTATTCGTAATGGATAGTTAGATAAGGGGCTATATATGAGTTTTATACTGTAGGAGAAGCATATAAAGCTTGCCCTAATTTTTTTGGGTAATTCAGTACGGATGACAAGCCCCTACATGTTTTTTGAAATCATTAGTGGTTTTTTAATGCGTTAGGTTTTTTGGGTACTTCAGTAGAGATAACAATCCCCTACCTATTTTTTGAAATCATTAGTGGTTTTTAAACGTGTTAGGTGTGAATGGAAGCGTACACCATAGTTGGGGCACACGTGGTGCTACCACCACAACCCCAATCCCATTTTTGAAAGCTTGTCATATTTCTAGTACAAATAAGTCACAATCACTCTTGTGAGTCAGATTTTTTCTTGAACGGTTATAAATGACTATCTACAAAGAGACACCATTTACCTTTTGTACAATGAGGTCACAATTATTTTTGTATCTTAGATTTCAAAATAGGTGGTTGTAAAAGTGTTATTGATTAGACGCAAAGTTTTTTTTTAAAAAAAAAACCTCAGACTTTGTGACTCTCCTCAAACCATCCAATATGATATCTAATGAACGGTAATAGGTGTGACTTCCTCGTACACCGAAAATGGTCTCTTCACAGACGTCCCCCTTTTAACAAAAGGTGTGATTTATGCAAGGCGCCTCACGTATGGAAGTAAAGTTGTCGTTGCCATGTTCTACTTTTTTTAGCATTTAGGTTGCCGCGTTCTATGCTATTCATTTAAGTTTGAAGACATAGAATTCGTATGTCTTTTAAGACCGTCAAAATATAACACGTATTCCAAAACCTTATTGTAGTTTCCGTTCTCACTTACCCCACCCAATAACATTTTAGTAAATCTAACTCCTAAACTATTTAAAAAAACAAGAAGGAGAATTTACATGATACATCTTAACGGGTTGTATAATGTAAAGTTGGCACCGTATATTTTTTCCTTTTTAGGGAATGGTATTATTGTATGGACAGACTTTATATATGTCCCACACCCATAGGTAGAGGTCATACATGTATGCTCCGTCTTACAGCCACTCGATCATAATGGACAACTGGAATGGTTTGTCGAATTATTTTATTTTTTATTATTTTTATATAAAGCATATCCAAAAGGGAAAATATATAATAAGACTATTTGCTTTTAATATAAGGTGGTCATATTAATTTTGACCGTGGGATGTAAAATTGGGTGGCTGCAATTGTTTCATTGACCAAGCTCAAACTTTAAAAGAAATTTATTCAAACTTTGTGACACATCCAAACTATCAAAATTTAGGATGGTTGTAAGTAATTGTGACCAACTTATATCAAAAGTAAATAGTATCATTGTATACAATCCCTATCCAAAATCAAATTTGATGCACGCCTATTTTTTCATTATTCACCCGCACGTTACACGAAGATTTTGGACTTTTATCTTTACTATAACTACTTTTCAAAATTTTTGTTGGGTGCGGCCACAATGAAAAGACTGTCTCAAATTTAATGCCAATATTATTAGTAGTGAAAAATTCGAATAAAATAAAATACTCTAACCGATCATGATCAAAGTATAACTTATTAACATTGTGGATCCAACAACAAATAATATATATATATATATGGAAAATTGTTTCATGTGGGCTAGACCGCATTTTTACAATATGTGGTCTCAAGGTATAAAGCATGCATCTTAAAGATGGATGTAAATAGGTGGTCCATCTAAAAACAATTGAAATTAATGGTCCAAATGTTTTCCTCATAAACTCATTATTTTTCTTTTATATAGGAAAAAGTTTATATAAAGTTGCAATCTTAAAATGTAGAACTACGGATGCACCTCAAAAATCCATCGGAAAAGGTTATTTTAATGTTGAAAAACCTTATGATTGATCATCTCGACATCAAGATGTATGAGTATGAAAAATAAAAATATTTTGAGTCTCATAAATAGTGCATCTTAGAACATATTATCTATATTGTCCATTTTCAAGATTTTCATATGTTTATAGATCTACTTGATTTTAACCATTTTTGAAATTTTAAATTTTATAATTAGATATAAAAATAGATTTTGAGACAATCCTAAAAACATTTTACATCAAAATTATATATTATGATAAAACTTGAAGGTGCACCTTAATTGGATTGTTTAAAGTTACAACCCTATAAAAACCTATATATATGTATAGTTTGATTAATTCCTTTGCAATTAGAGAGCAAAACAACCCAATGGAAAGAGGCATCTTAACCAATATCCACATATGCTTCCCTCTTGTTCTCATTGCTACGGTTTGACCCAGTGGTCTACCGTGCCTCTCGGTGGGAGTGCCTTTGGCAACTACTCTGACACAATGTTTGTAAACTCGTTTAAGACTAGCCCGACCGTGAGACTGGTGCGTAAAAGAGGTCTTGCACAACTTGATAGTATGGTGCAGCGCAACAGTTGCAATGTGCTTGCCATCCACACCAAAGAAAAACATGAATGTATACCACATAAACAAATTATTATTTAATAAGTATTAAAAATCAAAATTCGGCACAGAATGTGTCAGACCAGCATAATTGGAATATAGAAATTGGGCCAACACAATGTGTCATAAGCTGGTCTTGGTGCGTTTTTGTGTTGAACCAAGCAACTAGCATATTTTTATGACCAGAAGCCAGTATGGCACATGCTAGGCATCATATTTTGCGGAAAAACATAGGTTAAAATGGAGATATTTTGGTTCAAAATATTGGACCTTTTTGCTTGTGGGGCATGGGCGTTGAATGCAAAAATAAATAATATTGTGGTTAATAATATGATATCAAAATTTTTTTCTTTTTTTTTAAAAAAAAAATAAAAATTGAAGGGGATGCCTAGAAAGTACAACCTGCTATAATTTTCCCTAAAAAGAACAAACACATTATTTTCCCATATGCACATATAGAAATGAATCGTGTCACAAAACAAAATTAGAGTACAAACTGAAGTACGAATCAACCATTTAATGTTTAAAAGAATGTCCTAAAAATCGAGGCTTGTAGATTGTAACTTCGTTTGAGCATAAATAAAACTAGTGTTATGCACGTGAAATTAAATAATAATAATTCAAAAAATATATTTTATTCAATTACTGAGAGAAAAAGAAAATACCAAAGCCTTAATGAAAACCAACCAATTGGCACACACATTCTGATTACATGCTCTCAGAAAAGATGGTAGATGCCTTCATGAATTTGCATGAACAATAAGGAAAAAGAAAAGAAAAAAAAGATATTGAACGCAGAATAACATAAGGAAAATGAAAACCATATTTGTTTAGAGAGAGATCATAATCATCTTTATTGCGTGTGCAGCCTCACTCCAAAAATAAGTTATATGTTTTCCAAGTTCTCCAACTCATCGTGCACAATCTTGTTGTCTAGTTCTTGAAATTAAAATGGGAAGAACTTGGTATTGCATATGAATTTTAAATTGTTTAGGAAATGGATGCAACTGTAGAACTTCTTTCTTTATATTTTGAACATATGTAGACATATTTACCTCAAAATATAGTCTAGACAATTCACTTCTAGATTGTCCTAATAGATCTTCTCCTCCATCATCAAAGACAACGAGTAGAATTGTGTGGGAATATTATATAATATTAATCTCGAAAAGTTTCTAAAAAAAAATAAAAAATTAGCATGCTATTTTACACAATTTATATGGATAACACATTCATCACAATACATTATTTCATGTAGATTACCTCTCACCAATGAATTGAGGTGGATGTTTATTGCATTTTTTGCATAAATAACTCCCATATAATTTGCATAATTATTGAAACACTCAACAATTGACAAAAAAGTTAAAACTAATGAACCCAAAACACAAACATGAATGTTTTATCAGAGACTTAAAAAGTTCGAGCTAGTCTAGATGCAAGAGATGGTAAAAAAAGAATTAAGTCACAAATCCCTCACAAAAACTTTATGAGAAAGAAATTATAATCATCATTACAACAACTTTACAGCACAAAAGTATGCTAATTTTATAATTTACTCTATAATTACTATATCTTTACTAATATAAATACTATTAAAATATTGAAAATTATTGATTACAAATATTAATTAAATTAAATCGTATACTTAGAGTGTAGAGATTAAAGAGAGGTTGAGAAAAGAGAGTAGAGAGAGGACGTGGGGAGAGAGTAGAGATTAAATAGAGTATCTACTACTGCATTATTAACCCCAACCCAGGTTTATAAAGGTTATCTACTTGACAAGTGTCAAATAAATTAAATTAAAAAAGGATGCAGGGCTCAAGGATCGTAGGAGGGAGCTTGTGAAGAAGGAAGAGGTCAACTAGAAAAAAGCCTAACTGTTTTTTCAACGCACGAAAATTTGGCAGGAAAGAAATCGAAAGATGGTAGAGATACTATACATTCATTGGCATAGGAGAGATTACTGGGAAGATTTGAAAAAAAAGAAGGAAATTGGAGGACTTGTAGTTCATGGGCGGAATTCTTTTTAGGAATTCCAGATTACGATGACAGCATCACGTCAATTTGGGATATTTTAAGACAATGACAACATCTACACTCCCTTTTGGATTATAGTTCTTGCATTTCTTTTTTTTTTTTTTTATCCATAGAAAACAAACAGGAAAAGTGATGGAGTAGAAGTCTTGTGTTTCTTTTTCTTTTCATTTTCAGAGTAGAGTTAGTACGTTTCTTTCTTTTCCTGGGTTCACAAAAATCAGGCAAGAAAAGGGGTTTTTATTTTTTTTTTCGAGTTCATAGAAAGCAAGCAAAAGATAGTAATATAACTTCGATTGTTAGCTTCAGAAAAGGAATTCTTTTGTTTGTTAAACCGATCATGGAATTTGTTTGATGGATTGTTTTGATGTCTACTGTTGCATGATTTATTATTATTGCATACGCAGATTTGAAACTTTTAAAATTTCACAGCCATCTAGTGTAGAATCATTTTGAGAATCATACATAAATGTTTTGGCGTAGAGTTGTACCATTTAAAATCAAATTCAAGAACAACAAAAGATAAAAATTAGGTTGATAGCACCTTTAAAAATTGTACGTACCAGAAGAAGAAGAAAGACAAGAAAAAGAAAAAATAAAGGAGCAAAAAAAACTAATACATAATTTAGTATTGGTTGGAACTTGCCCTTGATAACCGGCAATCGGGTTGTGCTGACGCACTCACCCAACCTACATCTAGGTTTGGCCTAGGATATTGGATCGAAAGCGTAAGGCCAGGTCAACCCATTGTTAGAAAAATCGAGCGATCTAACCGGTAACTGCCCAATTAGATCGGAACCGAGCCTTTGCCGGTTCTACTTTCAAGCGATTTTAGGTATTGGCCAGTATTTTAAAAATAAAAATTCCAAAAAATGTCTATAAAATCCCTAAAATATGAAATTTAATCTGTAATACATTTTTTTAAATATTTTTACATTATAAAAAATATTAAAAAAATATTTTGATCATTAATACCAACTTTTAAAATCCATATTTTTCCACTTATTTTGAATTCATTTTGTTTTAATTATTCTTTATATGTTTTTCATATTTTAATAGATTTTTATTTGCATCTTTTTTATTTTTTTCAACAATTTTTGACCGCCCAAGACTTACCCGGTTGAAACGGTTGAATCAGCTGATTTACCGGTTAAACCGCTTCTGGCCCCATATCTGAACCGTACCGGTTCGATTTTGCCAACATTGGGTCAACCCAAACCAATCCCATACATAGAAAACATATGACATCAAAGAATAGCCTACTCTTGATTCTTGAAATTGAGGAAATTGGAAGATGGGCAATGTTTATCTCAAGGTTTCAAATAACAGAACCGTGACCCAAATAACCCCTTTGGATTTCTGATCCGGATCCCCTATATACCAAACCAAATTTAACCAAAAAAAAATTTAAATTCAATGGGGCCACTTGTGGCTAGTTCTCTGGCCGAACCAAAGAATGTGATTAAAAAAAACTGAAAAAAAAAAGAGGAAAAAAAGAGAGGGTGGAACCACTTCGTATCATTTTCCGACATATCTAACAAGTTCTATTAGAGAACTGGAACAAACGAGGAGGAGGATCATGAGGGGGACCGACCGACTCTCAATATTTTACAGGATCTGGATTTACCTGACCGATTCCAAATCTTGATCAACCAAATCTGAACCAAACACCGATTTTTTCAACCTTCGTCAATCTTATTACACTTCTACAAGAATACAAAGTGACTTGGTGGCCAGAGGGAGTACGACTTATCCGAACACATTGTCGACCATCTCAGCTGGTTTTTCTCCCATAAAGCATAGGCTAAAGTACTTCAGTACACTAAAATGCATACATACATTTAAGGTTCATGTTTTCAAACTCATGTAAGACCATCATCGCTTCCTCTATATTTAACAAGGTGCTATACAGATCACCATTGAAGCTTGCATGGATAGATCCATAAAACAAGGAAAATAAAAAAGAGGCCACAAAACACACCATGTACATAAAATTCCATCCACTGCACACCATATGACTGGTTTGCTAAGGACCACTATGTTGGTAGGAAGATAGTTACTACAAACAGGAAAAGAAAGAACGAAACCAGTGGACCTTTCTAAGCTGCTTCTGCAAATCCCACTCGTAGGTTCCCATAGTCGAACACGGTGTGGTATGCCCCCATGAAGACATCTCCAAGAATCCTGCATTCCCGTAGAGAGCCATCAGATATAAACCATGCATCTCTCTCTCTCTCTCTCTCTCTCTCTCTCTCTCTCTCTCCGCTGTGTGCACGCGCGCTTAATACATAGTCATTAAACGCAAGTCATTAAACACAAATCACCAAGTGGAATGCACAAAATAAGCACCGAGAATGAAAAGATAAACATACCAGAGTGGACCTCGAGGAGGCGGCATATCCAATGCTGAAAATCCACTAATGCATTGGGCAGTAACACCTTCTCCCACTTTAAGAACATACTGTGGTGTCGATCAAAAAAAACAAAAGGAAAATAAAAAAAATATTAGTAACCAACTTACCCAATAATGTTTTGGTTACAATCAGTTTGCAATAAGATGAAAGTCTTCAAATGATTTTCCAGCTCTCATTCAGAAAAATACCTCATAGACCCAATAAATCAGTTTTTCCCATCACAAGTGGTTACAGGCTTACAGCTCATTTGGTGGAAAAGCTCGCAGTTGCATGAAATAAATTTTTCTTAATAATATGAGGGAAAATAAACCCATGCACTCAAAATCAAAATAAAAGTACCCATGACACCACTACCATCATCGTCATCCGAGCCTTATCCCAAGTATTTGGAAAAAAGTACACAAGACATAAGTATCCTAAATCTGCATGAATGGAAAATTAGCCACCACTGAATGGGGGCAGAGAGAGAGAGAGAGAGAGAGAGAGAGAGAGAGAGAGAGAGAGAGAGAGAGAGAGGAGGAGGAGGTAGTAGTAGTAGTAGTAGTAGTAGTACGTAGTAACGTAACGTAACGTAACGTAACGTAACGTAACGTAACGTAACGTTAACGTTAACGTAACGTACGTACGTACGTA